CAAAAACAAACAGAACAAAACAAAACAAAAATGGATATCACGTGCCCGCCATAAAAGTAAATATAAAAGCAGTGAAACAACAACAGAAAATGTTTTTAAATCTAGCTAGCTGCTGTTGCCTGCCTACCAGAGGCTCTGCAGAACCCGTCCTGCTCTCGGGAAGCAAGTTAGACAAGTGTTACTTCTCTGGGGCGTTCTTGTTTAAATTAAAGAGGGTCGGCCAGGCATGGTGGCTCACGCCTGTAATCCAAGCACTTTGGAGGCCAAGGCGGGCGGATCACCTGAGGTCGGGAGTTCAAGACCAGCCTGACCAACATGGTGAAACCCCCTCTTTAAATAAATAAATAAATAAATAAAGCCGCTCAAAAGAGAACTGAAAAAACCTGAACCTTCCCTCTAACCAAGGCACTGTCATTTAACATAGTCATCTGGCTGCCTCTGAAATTGTCTTTGGAAACCACTATATTCTTGTACCTGGGGCAGTATAGAGAGCCAACAGGGTTAACTAGCGTCTGTCAAGCAGCTAGTGTATGATGGAAACCGTTCAGCCACTGCCTCATTCTATAGCGCAGCCCTCCAAGATGGGTATTCTTTAGCTCCACTTTACAGATGAGCGGACTGGGGCTCAGAGAGGCAGTGGGACTTGGCCGGAATCTCACAGCCAGGAAGTGACGAGGCTGGAATCAGGAGCTGTTTCTCTCTGACCTTTATTGTTACCCTCTGCAAGCAGGACTTGCTCTCCTCTCTCATGCCTGCATCAGCCACATCTGTCCAAAGCTCCAGAATTCCTTCCAGAACAGGACTGAGTTTGCTGGAGCTGTGGTTCTTTGTCACAACTGACGGAACCTAGGGCAGTCCTGGAAGCAGAAGCAGAATGCTTTCTCGGCCACGGGTCACTTTTCACTGGTAGCCAAGTCCATCCCAAATGAAACGGGCCAACATCAAAGCATTCAGCCCTGCCTTTTATTACTAACTTGACTTCTTTTATGGTTTGGGGGTTTGGTTTGGCTTTTACTTCCTGGAATAGCTCAAAACCAGAAGAGAACTTGGCATCATCGGGAGGTTTCCATGGGCATCATTGTCCCTTCCCCTCCTGGTCCATTTGGGGCCTCTGCCCATCCTGGGAGGCCCCCTCCAGGCAGACAGTGACCACCGCCAGGTGTGGTGCCCCACACCCACCCAGCTGTCCTCTAACAGAGACACGTGGCCAGCTCCGGGCTGTCCCCTCATGTTATTTAGGGCCTCCCCAGCACTGTCTAGTCACATAGGGAAGGTGGAGGAGGAACAGCTGCCACCCTGCCACCTTTTGTGGATTTAAGGTACAGGTTTGCAGTCGGCCTTTCCCAAACTCTCAAGTCCAAGCCACCTCACCAGAGCCTCCATTTCCCCATTTCTTAAATGGGTCAGCTTTCCCAGGGTTACATAAAGTGACACAGATAAACACATTTCAGGAGCCACCCAGTGCTGAGCCAAGGTCGGGGAGTGCTGTTATTGCAGTCTTGGGGGAGCCACAAGATATTTGCACACAGAGCAGTCAGGACATACCACAGTCCAGCATATAATCAGCTCCTTCATGATGTGGCTCCAACTGCAAGGGCTGCAGGATTTCAGAGGAAAAAGAGGCCCTTAGGGAGCGGGGAGCAGACAGCAGCTCATCCTGGCCAGGAGAATGACCACTCACTGTTCTAACCAGAAAATGAAGGGGGACCAGAAACAGGAGGTGGGGGAGGGAAGGCCTGTCCTGTCTCTGGGACTTCCTGCTTCAGCTCTGGAAACAGTCCGTCCTTAAGGATTTGCTGCAGAGCAGGAGCTACTTAAAGGCTAATGTTAAAAATCGGTGAGCCCGTTAGTCACCCTTCAGAAGGATGGAAGGGTGGACAGTGACCGGGGAAGGTGCCCTATTAAGCCATCCACATCCCTCAAGATGTGTTTTTCCATTTTGAGTCTGAAGCAGATCGCACCTCGGGGGAGCTGGCTTAAAGTTAGAACCTGACTCAAAGTCATGTAGGATTGGCAACCCAAGTGTCCATCGACAGGTGAATGATAAGCAAAAGGTGGTGTATCCATACAATGGAATATTACTCAGCCTTTAAAAGGCAGGAGGTGTTGACGCCTGCTACGAGCATGGACCTTGAATGGATGAGCATGCTGAATGACGTCAGCCAGACACAAAAAGATAAACACTGTATGATTCCACTTACATAAGCTACCTGAAATCATCAATCCCTAGAGATAGAAGGTAGAATGGTGGTTCCCAGGGGGAGGGTGGAAGAGTAGTTGTTATTTAACGGGTACAGAGTTTCAGTTTTGCAAGAAGAAAAGACTTCTGTGGATGGATGGCCGTGCTGGTAGCACAGCAGTGTGAATGTATTAAATACTTAACGCACTGTAACAGCACACTTGAAAATGGTTAAGATGGTAAACTTTACTGTGTGTACTTACCACAATTTAATTTTTTTAATGGGAGAAATAATCATGTAGGGTCAAAATATCCCCGAAGCCCAGTGAAAGGTACCACACTGGAGACTCCGTTCATCTCTCCGTTGGTCCATGAGAGCCCAGCACTGCTGCAGGGTTGGCATATCACTTCGGGAGCTGGGTGGTGAGCTATTAAGGCCTGGTTATATAGAAAATGCAAGACACGTTCTCTTCTAGCCCAGACTGCAAACTCAGGCTCAGCATGGTGAGAAGGCACAGGAGAGGCACCAGGAAACTGAGGCTGTCTAGGAGAGAAGAGTCCAGCCTCATGCAGAGCATGCACTGCCAGGGTGGCTTGGCTGACAGAATCACCTGTGCAATTCATACATATGCACGTGTGCTCTCTGCACAGGTGTTTGCAACAGAATGTATGCGCGAACCACCTGAACCACCCTCACATCTGCATCCTCATTACCCTGGTTCAGGACCCGGGCCAAACGAGGCTTAAGTAAATATTTGTTTGCTTGTTTTTTTTTTTTTTTTTTTTTTGAGACGGAGTTTCTCTCTTGTTACCCAGGCTGGAGTGCAATGGCGCGATCTCGGCTCACCGCAACCTCCGCCTCCCGGGTTCAGGCAATTCTCCTGCCTCAGCCTCCTGAGTAGCTGAGATTACAGGCACGCGCCACCATGCCCAGCTAATGTTTTTTGTATTTTTAGTAGAGACGGGGTTTCACCATGTTGACCAGGGATGGTCTCGATCTCTTGACCTCGTGATCCACCCGCCTCAGCCTCCCAAAGTGCTGGGATTACAGGCTTGAGCCACCGCGCCCGGCTGTAAATATTTGTTAAACTGAGCTGTTTGTTCATGATGACCAGGTCTGAGTTTCAGATCCCATAATAAGCAGAGTGTACTCTGCAGTTCTCTTGTATTTGGCACAGAAACTAGTGCAGTGCACAAAGAAAATGCTCATGAAGGCTGGGCATGGTGGCTCACACCTGTAATCCCAGCACGTTGGGAGGCCGAGGCACGCAGATCTCCTGAGGTTGGGTTCAAGACTAGACTGACCAACATGGAGAAGCCCTGTCTCTACTAAAACTACAAAATTAGCTGGGCGTGGTGGTGCATGCCTATAATCCCAACTACTTGGGAGGCTGAGGCAGGAGAATCGCTTGAACCCGGGAGGCAGAGGTTGTGGTGAGCCGAGATCGCACCACTACACTCCAGCCTAGGCAACAGAGCAAGACTCCGTTTCAAAAAAAAGAAAATGCTCATTGAATCATTGAATGAATACCTGCTAGTAGATAAACCAGCTTTGTGGAGGGCTACTTTGTGCCCTCCACCTACCCTCTGTCCAACGTATTGCCAGACACACTTGAGGCTCTGTGATACAGCCAGTGAGTCACTGGGGCAGATTAATGTGGACTTTGGCTAATGGAAGATCTATTTCAACCCCTCATTAACTTGGAGACTTTGAACCTCTCTCCAAATCATAAAACAGTTCCTTCACTTTAATGCTTCAGATTCGTGAGTTAAGACATATATGTGAGCATGTTGGAAATAACTTAAAGATTCACTAGTAGACAACTAGTTGAATAAAGTGTGATACAGCTATAGATAGACATCCAATATCCAGTATAGATGATGTTATAGAAGAATAATGAAATGTGCCGGGTACCTGTAATACCGGCACTTTGGGAGGCTGAAGTGGGTTGATCACTTGAGGCTGGGAGTTCGAGACCAGCCTGGTCAACATGACGAAACCCCGTCTCTACTAAAAATACAAAAAAAAATCAGCTGGACATAGTAGCACATGCCTGTAATCCCAGCTACTTGGTAGGCTGAGGCACAAGAATTGCTTGAACTCGGGAAGCAGAGGTTGTGGTGAGCTGAGATTGTGCCACTGCACTCCAGCTTGGGTGACAGAGCAAGATCGTGTCTCAAAATAAATAAATAAGAATAATGAAATGTCATGAAGTTGACAATTTATACCTAAGTGAAAGCATCGGTTTACAAAATAGCATGTACAGTATGGTCTGATTTTGCCTAAATGTGAACATATTACTTGAACAAACATACTGTGATGTGTGTGTGTGTGTGTGTGTGTGTGTGTGTGTGTGTGTGTGGTTCCCCAAACCAGCAGTATCACCAGGGAACTTTTTTAGAAATGCACATTCTCAGGCCCCTCCACAGAACTACTCCATCAGAAACTCAGGTGGGGCTCCACTGTCTGTGTTTTAACAAGCCCTCCAAGTGATTCTGGTGCCTTCCTGGGTTTGAGAGCACTGGCGTATGGCATTCCTAACACCCCCTCCTTCCGTTGCTTTTTGGTTTTGTGTGTGTGCATGCATGTGTGTGTGTGTGTGTGTGTGTGTGTGTGTGTGTGTGTATCTGTTGGAGACAGAGTCTTCCTCTGTCACCTAGGCTGGAGTGCAGTGGCACGATCTCTGCTCGCTATAACCTCCGCCTCTGAGATTCATACAATTCTCTTGCCTCAGCCTCCCAAATAGCTGGGATTACAGTTGTGCACCACCATGCCTGGCCTCTCTCCTCCTTTGCACTCACCTGCCTCTCTCTTCTCCAGGCCCTCATCCAGCTGCCCCCCTACATCTCTCAGTGTGATGAGGTGCTGCAGTTCTTTGAGACAAGACCTGAAGACCTGAATCCCCCCAAAGAGTAAGTTCATTTGTGTGCTTCCCCAGATGGAGCCCCACAGCCCTCCTTCCTGCCAGTCCAGCCACCCCCAAGTAACGCAAAGTGCAGCCCAAAGTAGGTTTCATCAGCTGAGCCCCTGTTAGACCACACTTCACGTAGCCTTCAGAGTTACTGTAAGTGGATAGTAAGTGTCCCGTTTGATGGATGAAGGAAACTGGCTGAGTGCCACTCCTGTCATCCCATAATACTCTGCACCTGCCCACAGCACTTATCAAGGTGTGTCAGAACTGGGCAGACTGAGCCTGAGAGGCAGGGGCTGAGCCGTAGATTCATCTAGCTTCTGTCCACAGAGGTGGGTGTGCTCAGGAACTGCCGGGGGTGTGAATGCAGGTGCAAACCAAACCGAAGACGATCCCATTGCCAGCAAGTGACAGGGCCAGGATTTCATCCTGCTCAGCCAGGCTCCAAAGCTGTCCACCACAACCCTGCCTCCCTGTCGCTTCTCCCTACGGTGGACAGGCCACGTGCACAGATGCCATAGTGCACACCACATAAAACCCAAGCACCGCCTGCCTACCTGCCCTTACACACCGACACCCTGGCTGGCCCGAAACACTGACATACGCATGGTGCTTTGGGGAAAGCAGGAAGGGATCTGGCTAATGGAGAAATAGCAGTGGGGAAAAGAGACCTGCCCACAGTGCTGGGAGTGTCCTGGGGTCACAGGAGCAAGAGTGGGCAGAGTTTGGGGTCCATCTAGGCTCATTCGAGAAGGGCCAAAAAGTGCCAGCCAGGCTCTGTTCCAGAAGTAGGCACAGCCACTCTTAGCCCTGTGCTCGCTGGTGCCCCAAACAGCCAGCGTGGCGGGCGGTGTGCTGAGCACCGTACATGTCTCGAGAGAGAAAGACACGTGCTGCCTTTTGGAAATGATCTGCTGGAGTCACAACAATTTTTAAAATAGACTCGTGAGGGGAAAGCATCAAAGTGTTTTAACAAGTGAAGTCAGGCCATTTATAGTTTATACATACACACCGTGACCTCCAAATGAAGTTCACAGGCCACAGATCTCCGAGTGCACTCGGGATGGATGGTTTGCTAGCACACAGCTGAGTAGACCCAAGTTCCTGCAAAAACATATTCCAGTATGCACCGTCTCCTGTGATGAGCACGGAGCGAGTAAATACAGCTTCTCATGGTGAGTGCGCAGAAGCGCGTGGTTTTGGAGTCAAGGGAGACATTCTGTAAGAGGCAACAGTAACCCTTTGAATCACACATCACAAGGGAATGTCTTGCCAACACAGGAGCCAAGACACGGTTTCATAAATTTAAAAATAATCATAAAGATACAGAATATAAATCTGATAATCTGGGATGTTAAGCTCATGCTGGCTAATGTTTTTGTTCTTAGTGTCTTTGGCATTGGCATCTGGTGAGCATTTCCCAACTTGTATTGCCATCAGGAAATATGGGGAAATATTCTCAGACCACCTTTGTCTGCAGTCCTCCCGGGCTTGCAGGAGTGAACTGCCATTCAGGCTCATAGCCTCTGCCTTCAATTAAAATTTCTGCACAAGGTGAATCAAAGGATACAGAGCTCATTGTGCTCCCTTTCCACTTCATTTTCTCACAAAACTGCCAGATAAAAACTGCCATTCCCTCATGCCTGTAATCCTAGCACTTTGGGAGGCTGAGCCTGGAGGATTGCTTGAGCACAGGAGTTAAGACCAGCATGAGCTGCATAGTGAGACCCTGTCTCTACTAAAAATCAAAAAAAATTAGCCAGGCATGGTGGCGTGGTGCCTAGTCCCAGCTACTCAGGAGGCTGAGATGGGAGAATTGCTCCAGCCAAGGAGGTCGAGGTTGCAGTGAGCAGTGATCCCCACCACTGCACTCCAGCCTGGGCAACAGAGGAGACTCTGTCTCAAAAACAAAAACAGAAAACCTGTCATTCCTCGCTTACAGATGAGGCAGCTGAGGTTCAGAATGATAAAAGAGACTTTTAACAAAACAATAATGAAAGAGAGGCACAGTTTAGAAGAGGTGAAGATGAATTTTCCCTGTGTCAGTCTGAGTCTGAACCTAAGCTCAGTCCCACACAAGAGGCTTACTTAATAGAAAAGAACTTGAGTTTGGAATCTAGTACACCCAGGTTCAAATCCCGCCTCCACCACTCCTGGGCTGTGTGGTGTGGGCCTCCCTCACTTTGCTTCTGGGCTTCCACACTTGCTCCATGTGAAATGGGAGTAGCTGTACTTTTTAGGATGATGGCGAGGAATGAGTGACTGCCACAGGGAAAAATTCCAAGACCACGCCAGCTGCTCAGGAGGTGGCAGCTCATGGTACTGCCCCTCTCGGAATGCCCAGATGTTGCTGTCTTTATTCCAGCACTGTCTCTTAAGAGTTGATCAAGATGCCCAGCCTGATATACCCTGAGCAGGAAGAATTGCCTGACTACTGTCTTAGTTTGTTCCACCTGCTGTGACAAAAATACCACAGACTGGGTGGCTTAAGCAACAAAAATGTATGTCTCACTTTCTGGAGGCTGGATCAGTCCAGGATCAAGGTGCCAGCTATTTCAGTGCCTGGTGAAGGCCACTTCCTGGTTTGCAGATGTGTCCCCGCATGATAGACATAAAAAGAGAGAGAGAGAGAAAGCCAGCTCCCTTATGTCTCCTCTTTTTTTTTTTTTTTTTTTTTTTTTTAATTTTTTGTAGACAGGGTCTGGCTATGTTGCTCAGGCTGGTCTGACGCTCCTGGGCTCAAGTGATCCTCGTACCCTTCGTGTCTCTTCTCATAAAGGCGTTAATCCCATCCTGGGGCTCCATCTTTATAACCCACCAAGGCTCCATCTCCAAGCACCATCACACTGGGGCTTAGGGTTTCCACATATGAACTGAGTTTATAGGAGCCGCTTTCACACTGGGTGAGCTTGGGCAGGCCTTTCCACCCCTTGCCTCAGTCTCCTCTTATGTAAGATGGGCCTGATGACACCTCCCTCACAGCATTGCTTGGGGAATCAAATGAGATGTAGAGGAAAGCACTTGGGATGTGCTCTACAGACCTGACTGCCCAAGGTCAGGGAAAGGAGAAGACAGCAGCCGTGAGAGTAGTGTTGACGCTGGTCTGCGTTCCGTGGCCCCCTGGATTCAATGATAGCCAGATTTTCTTCTCCCTTATCTCAGTGCCCCAGAGACTTTAACTTTGGGGAGCATCATGGACCACTTAGAGATTCCAGCAAAAGCTCTCTTCCCTCTTCCTGAAAGAGCACCTCCAGTTTCAGGAGGTCCTCATTTGTGCGGAATCTTGTACATGGACCTGAGGCGAAGTAGCCCAGCCCTGGTAGCCCTTCCGAATGTTAGTGCCAGGATGGCTTTGGCCTCTCCCTGGCGAAGGTGGTTGCAGTGGCCCCAGTCTCTGAGCAGGCATCAGACCAACTTAGACACATAGAGGGGAGAGGGCCAGGCCAGGGGCAGCTGCTGTGCTTGGGAGGAGTCTGGTCATCTTCAAGAAGGAAGGACACTCTGGGACACGGGGTGGGAGCCCGTCCTTAAGAGGAGGTGGGAAGTCCCGGAGGCTGCATGGTGGCCTTGTTGCACCCTTGGCTTCCTCTCTTTGGTGGCAGAGGCAGCCCTGCTAGCTTGCTGGCTGGGGCTTGTAGAAATAGCACAGGACAAGATTTCTCAGCCCATGCTGCATCCAGTCAAGGCCACTGGCTTTGTTCTTCATTCATCAGCAGATAAGGAGGGCCTGCTGACTTCCACAGTGGTGGGAAAGGCAGCGTGAACATGTGGGTACATAGGCACCCATGCATACACAAATAGAACATCCACTAAAAATACAAAACACAGCCTAGACTGTACCAAAGAAAGCGCCAAGAAACAGCTGAACTAAGCTAGCAAGCACCATGCTGGAGTATATGTATCTGGTTCTGAGAGCCTTCCTGGAAAGAAAGGGAAGGTTGAAATCTCCTTGTCCCTTCCCAGCTGTGTGACCTCGGACAAATGACTTGACTTCTCTGAGCTTATTTCCTTATCAGTAAAGTGGGTGCCACTACCCTGGCTCACAGCTTTGTTGTGAGCACTAAGCAAGATCTTGCCCATAAAGGACAGTGTCTGGCACAGGGCAGGTGCTTACCTAGTGATGCCTTCCTGTCTTTAAGCCAGGATTTGAAAAGGAAGGAAGGTGGGGAGGTTGCCAAGGGCCCAAGAGATGGTTCTGGGGCCACAGCAGGCAGTCTCAGCTGGGCCCTGGTTGTTGGTTTAGGGATAGTGAACTTGAGGGTTATACTCAGTGGGGTTGTTCTGTTGGTCAGGATCCTGAAGCTCATCCCATGTTAGGGCTTGAGATGGACTTTAGGGGTCTATCCTAGCCAGTTGGTGCTGTTGGAGTAGGGTTTTGGCTGCCATGAATAGGAAAACTTGGGAACACCCCAAGCGTGTCACACCAAGAATATGACGCACCTGCTTGAGTGAACGCATGCTGCAGCTGCCTGAACGCTAGAGTCTCCTGCCGTCACCATTCCCCTGCTCTGCCCGGGGCAATAGAAGCAGGGGTGCATGGCCCAGTAAGAGCCCAGTACTTAAGCCCAGAACACGGCTCAGCTTGCGGGCCTGGACGGCGACTCCGGCAGCTGGTGCTTTCTGTGGAAGCAGGCTGGAGGAACCTTGGTTAGTGCATCTTGGAACAGCAGCCCAGAGGGGAACTTCAGTCACTAGGCGGTCCAGGTGGTGGTCAGGAGAGTGGGCTCCAGCCAGGCTTCCTGGCTTCCAGTCTTGGGCCTCGTACCTCACCTCTCTGGGCCTCAGCATCTCCATCTGCAAAATAGAGTAATCTTCAGAGGGATGCGTGAGGATGCAGTGAGTCAGCCCAGATGTAGCTTTCTGACCAGAACCCAGTGAGTGCCAGTGAAGGTGGGCTAGGACATACACTCCGACCCTCACCCTCTCCTTACAGGCTCTGTGAAGGTCAATCTCAGGGATGTAATGCCTGGAGGGAGGACATCACCACCGCCCCAGCCCAACCTGGCCAGACTCTGCTGCGCCTCCCAGACATACCGGAGGAGTGCAGCCCCTGGTCTTGGGCTTGGCTTAACTCCCTCCCTGCTCTCCCTCAGGTTGCTCCGAACCATTATTACTTGGTGCTTAAAAACCCAGACATTGAATAGACACTTCTCCAAAGAAAATGCACAAATAGCCAATAAGTATATGAGATAATACTTGCATCATTATCCATCAGGAAATGCAAATCCAAGCTGCGATGAAATATCACTAGATCTAATTCACATCCACTAGAATGGCTGTAATCAAGAAGGTAGATAGGCTGGGCATGCTGGCTCATACCTGTATTCCTAGCACTTTGGGAGGCCAAAGCAGGTAGATCACTTGAAGTCAGGAGTTCGAGACCTGCCTAGCCAACATGGTGAAACCCCATCTCTACTACAAATACAAAAATTAGCCAGATGTGGTGGGCGCCTGTAATCTCAGCTACATGGGAGGCTGAGGCAGGAGAATCATTTGAGCCCAGGACGTGGAGGTTGCAGTGAGCTGAAATCATGCCACTGCACTCCAGCCTGGGCAACAGAGCAAAACTCCATCTAAAAATTAAAATTAAAAAAAGAAGATAGATAACAAGTGTTGTCAAGGATATGAAGAAGATGGAACCTTCATACAGTGCTGGTAGAAATATAAAATGGTGCGGTCGCTGTGGACATCTGTGTGGCAGCTCCTCAAAAGTTAAACCTGGAGTTACCATAAGACCTAGCAATTCCACTCTTAAGTATATAACCAGGAGAAATCAAAGCACATGTCCATACAAAATCTTGTACACAGATGTTCACAGAAGCATTATTCGTAATAGCCAAAGAGTGGAAACAACCCAAATGCCCAGCAACTTAGTAATGGGTAAACAAATTGTGGTCTGTCCACGCAATGGAATATTACTTAGCAACAGAAAGGAGTGAAGTGCTGATGCATGCTACAACATGGATGAACCTCAAAGACATTACGCCAAATGAAAGAAGCCAGACACAAAAGGCCACACACTATATGATTCCATTTATATGAAATGTCCAGAATAGGCAAATAAGAGACAGTAAGCAGATTTGTGGTTGCCAAGCGCTGGAGGAGGGAGAATGGGAAGTGACTACTAATGGGTACAGGGCTTCTTTTTGGTGTGATGAAAGTGATCTGGAATTAGTGGTGATGGTTGGACAACCTTGTGAATATACTGAAAACAAGTAAGTTGTATACTTTTAAAGGATGAGTTTTTGTTTGTTTTGTTTTGTTTTTGAGAAAGAGTCTCGCTCTGTCTTCCAGGCTGGAGTGCAATGGCATGATCTCAGCTCACTGCAACCTCCGCCTCCCAGGTTCAAGCGATTCTCCTGCCTCAGCCTCCCAAGTAGCTGGGACTACAGGCACATGCCACCACACTCAGCTAATTTTTATATTTGTAGTAGAGATGGGGTTTCTCCATGTTGGTCAGGCTGGTCTCAAACTCCTGACCTCTAGTTATCTGCCCACCCTGGGCATCCCAAAGTACTAGGATCACAGGTGTGACCAACCGCTCCTAGCCTAAAAGATGAGTTTATGGTTTGTCAGTAATATTTCAGTTTTTTAAAAGTCAGAGCTGGGTTCAAATTCTGGCTGTACTACTTGCGAGCTGTGTGACCTTGAGCAAATTACTTGGCCTCTCTCTTCCTCGTCTGTAAAATGGGAATAAGAATAATACCTGCCGGGCACAGCAGCTCACACCTATAATCCCAGCACTTTGGGAGGCCAAGGCAGGCAGATCACCTGAGGTCAGGAGTTTGAGACCAGCCTGACCAACATGGAGAAACCCCATCTCTACTAAAAATACAAAATTAGCTGAGCGTGGTGGCTCATGCCTGTAATCCTAGCTACTCGGGAGGCTAAGTCAGGAGAATAGCTTGAACCCAGGAGGCAGAGGTTGCAGTAAGCCGAGATTGCACCATTGCACTCCAGCCTGGGCCACAAGAACAAAACTCTGTCTCAAAAATAATAATAATAATAATAATAATAATAATAATAATAATACTTATTTCCAGGGATCATCATGAGTATTGGGTGAGTAAACTACAAGTGCCTAGCAGGGTGCTGGCACCAGGTCATTTAATAATATTAACTAATGCTACTGTTGCCACAATATCCATCCCAGCCCAACCACTGGAAACATATTTGTGAGATAACTTACTTTAAAAGTGCTTTGTAAGCCCCAATTTGTAATGTTGCATTTGTGATGCAGTTGTTCCCCGCCCCCACCCCCACCCCCCAGGTTGGAATCTTGCTCTGTCTTGGCTCACTGCACTTCCGCCTCCCAGGCTCAAGCAATTCTCTTGCCTCAGCCTCCCGAGTAGCTGGTACCAGAGGCGTGCACCACAACACCCAGCTAATTTTTGTATTTTTAGCAGAGACGGTGTTTCACCATGTTGGCTAGGCTGGTCTCGAACTCCTGACCTCAAGTGATTCACCCACCTCAGCCTCCCAAAGTGCTGGGATTACAGGCGTGAGTCACTGCGCCTGACTGATACAGTTGCATTTATAAACTCTGACATCATCAACAAATGTAAGGGAGTCACTATTCATCATTCCCCGTGAATTCTAGCTCACAGTAGTGTCTCCCCTGTCTCTACTAGGGAGGTGTACTGTATTCACTGCTGTCCAGACTTCTGCCCAGTTTTACTGTGTTCCCTCTACACTTAGTCTCAAGCACTTTCTGCCCCATGTCTACGGCTTAGGGGACCCCAAGAAATGGGGCAGGGACCTCTGCTGTGCCTGATGAGGTAGGCATCAGGCTCATTGCAGCGTGGGGACCTAATTCCTATTTTCAAACTGTGCATCCCCCTTCAGCTCCTCTCCAGGGCTTCCAGTCTACAAATAAGTGGAGACACTGGTCCCCAGGACACCAGAGCACTTATCAGGCAAAGGGACAGAATTAAGAGAAATTCTTTCTCTTTGGAGAAGCCAGCATCCCTCTAGTTGGCCTGGATTTTATTCATTCACTGATGATGTTGTGGGGGGTGGAAAATCTCAGTATCCTAGCAGAATAACTCATGTTAACACATGACAAGTACTGACTCATTACTCTTTCCCACCCCCTTTCTTTCCTATACAGGGAGCACGCTGGGAAAAAGAAATCTGGTAAGAATATTCTCTATTTTCTTCTCTTTATTCAGTGTATAGCAAACTCCAGCTGAGCACCTACTCTGTGCCAGGTCCTGGGTTCCATGCTGGGGATACAGTGATGTGGATGGATGGATGGATGGTGGGTAGGAGGGAGGGAGGGAGGGGAGGGAATGGAAGGAGGGATGGGTGAACTGATGGATGGATGAATGGATGGATGGATGGATGGATGGATGTTTGATTGATTGGGTGATATCCCATCCCATTTCCCAAAAATAGTATTTGAAGTTGTTTCATCTAATACGCCAAAAAACTGCCAAGTGGTTGAGACTTGGAGTCTTTTCCAGGGAATGCCTTCATGGAAATGGGGAGACAGACTTCTTCCTAGCTATGATATTGGGAGGTAAATGCCTTTGTTCCACTTTATACAGAGCAATATGGTAGCTGAGAGTTGAGAGCATTCTTTGCAGGTGTCATAAGGGGTCGGAAAGAAGTCCAATGTGAACTTCAGAACTTCCAGAATTTAGCGCTCTTTAATTTCCTAGGATTCCAGGTTTGAGGAGGTTGATGAGGATCAGGGGTGCAAGCAGAGGCCCTAGAAGTGAAAAAGGATGCACCCTTTCATGGGCCTCAGTTTCCTCCTGGGTCTTGATGAAGTAGCTGGAGCTTTCCATAGAGTGAAGGGCATCCCGGGCTGAGGGGATTGCCAGGCACCGGCTGGGGGCAGGAATGTGTGGCAGATTTGGGCCATATCCATTGGATATCCTCGGCACCAGGCCCAGCCCCTGTTTTGGGCAATGACAGATGCAGTGTCAAGCAATTCCCAGCCCTATTGCCATTCTCCCTAAAGTATGTTATATTCCTTCCTAATCATCTTTCCATTGCCTGGATCTTTCACAACTCTTCTCTCAGAAGCAGTCATGGAGAAGGAGAAGGTGGAATTTGGGAACGCACAGAAGAATGATTGAGCTCTCCCCTGGGGTTTATAAATTTATATAAACAGTGGCCCAACTTCTTCTTCTTGCCCAACTTCTTCTTCTTGCCACCCAAGATCATCTGCAAAGGCCCCAGCCCACACCTCACCTGGAGCCAATGTGGACTTCACAACTTCCAGAATCCAACACTGTTTAATTTCCTAGGATTCTAGGAGGTTTGAGAGGGTTGATGAGGATCAGGGGTGCAAGCAGAGATCCTAGAAGTGAAAAAGGATGCATCTTCTCATGGGCCTCGTCTGCAAAATGGGGTTTATCATGGCAGGCTGCCGTAGGGGATTATTATAGGATTTATAATCATATCCGTAAGGTACCTAGAACAGTGCCTGGCACATGCTTGGTAATATATATTTGATGCTGTTTTTACTGCCACTACTACTATTACTTAAAGTACGTGGGTGCCCCTGACCAGCAGTGGTGTATTAGTTCATTCTCACACTGCTATAAAGAAATACCTATGACTGGGTGATTTATAAAGAAAAAAGGTTTAATTGGCTCATGGTTCTGCAGGCTTTACAGGAAGCATAGAGGCTTCTGCTCAGCTTCTGGGGAGGCCTCAGGGAGTTCTCCATTATGGTGGAAGGCAAAGGGAGAGCGAGCAGTTCTTAAACGGCAGGAGCAGGACCGAGAGAGAGGGGAGGTGCTACACACTTTTAAGCAACCACATCTCCTGGTAATTCCATCTAGAGACAGCACCAAGAGGATGGTGCTGAGCCATTCATGAAGGACCCACCCCCATGATCCAATCACCTCCCTCCAGGCCCCACCTCCAATATTGGAGATTGCAATTTGACATGAGATTTGGGTGGGGACACAGATCCAAACCATATCAAGTAGAAATTCCAAATTAAAAAGCCCCAGTACCTTTGCTGCCCCTGGGTATGGGCCCTGTGGTCAACCTGACAGGCCTCACAGTCATTCTCTCTGCCTCAAGGAATGGCGTCAGAATTAACTTCAGCCTTTTCCCAACCAGTCTGTTTATAGCTCGTCTTTCCAGTTTAATAGGTACTGGCCAGAGCCGTGGTATCCTGCTAAAGCTGCAAATAGTTCCTGAGCCCCAGGGATAATTATATGTTTCTTAGAAAAGAGCAGAGAGAAGAGGAGCCGCCACTCTTGGGCTGGCAGAGTTTCTGGTTTTGAGTATGTAGAGACTTTCCCTAGAAGGAATGAGTGTGGGAGGAGAGAGAAGAGAGGAAAGAGACAGCTCTGGTTTGTGACAAACACAAATGTCCAGTCGGAACAGGCTTGATGAGGGGTCTTGTCTGGAAAAGGGGGAAGAAGCTCTAATTTGTGGTAACTGTTGTTGTATCATTCACCTGAAATGATGGGGACGGATTATTTATAATTCAACTGGGTGGAAAATAGCATCTTTCTTCATTCAAACTAAGAACCCAAGCTGGGATTAGCCGTGTATCTTTTTGACCTTTGAACACTTCCTTTATTTTAGAATTGGCCTTTTGGATTGAATTTTAAAGGGATCTAACATTGACAGACTAACTCCTGAGATTTCTGTACCAAAACTCTGCTTTGGAGACGGCTTATCTGCCTCTGGCATTTCCCAGTCATGACTGGCTGGCTGGCTCCTACAGACTTTGGCTAATATGGCCTCAAATTCTGCTCATCCTGCAGAAAATGAATCTTCTTACCAAAAGTCAAGAGATCATCCGATTATTTGAAGAGCATCTTTCTTCCTGATTTGTCTAACCTTTACTTAAAAGCATTCTTTGTTTACTGACTCTTTCAGCAAGATTGGCAATATAGTGAAATCTTTGGAAGGAAAATCCCACTTTACCCATCATTTTAAAAATTAAAGACATATCATCATGAAGAAAAAATATGCCCAAATAGAAAACTTCTGTGGTAGACTAGGCACTATACGTCTTAAGAATATTTTACAACACTTAATAATAAAATCGCCCTTCCAGTGTCAGACTTTCCTTTCTCATTACCTCTTCTCTCATATTTCTGACTGGGCCACAAAAGTGATATCCTTGCCTAGGAATCCTTTGATTTCACACTTGGCAACTCCTAGAATTTAGCTTTAGCTGCCTGCCTCAACATTTAGACATTGCAATTATTATGGCATTATAGAGCTTGGCCGCAATATCAACCTCCACCAGTAGGTGTCTTCACTTAACAAGTAAATGGCCTGAAGCCTAATTTGAGACTCCTGGTAGATCAAATGAATGAACTTTTCTCATCAGTTTCAATAAGTTGAGTGCTCTGAGTAAAATGAACCAACTTACCCTGAAAGAACTGGTGCTGAAACAGCAACTCCATGTATTCTCTGAACCACTTCATGGCAGAGAACTAGTCTAAGCTACTGCATGGAAAAACAGCAAGGAGATGGTAGTCTTGGACCTGGCCCCAGAGCAAGTCTTGGAGGAAGTGCCAGCCCTGAGCCCTGTGCCAGCCCTGAGCCCTGTGCCAGTCCATGCTTTGCTCCAGCTAACCCAGAGTCCCAGCCCAGAGCTCCCTGCCCTCCTCATTTCCTGGCTCTGTGTCTTACTCACAGCAAATCTCATGATTCCTTGGTTCTGTCATTCTGTCACTGCTCATAGTTTTGCCAAATCCCATTGGCAGACTGGTTAGGAGAGTTAGTGCAGAAATGCCGGGCGCATTCATCAGTCCTGAAAACTGTGTGTGGTGCAACCGTGCCACCATCAGGTGTTAAAACTGGGTGGCAAAAGTTGAGCTTTTTGGACAGAGTAACCTGACAACTGGATCTTCACTTAACTGAAGCCCTCTTTCTACATAGGTGAGAAGGAGTCATCTTTAATTTATAAGATTATAAACTTATAAGGAGGCCTGGAGCCTTGTATAGAGTAGGAAGGGTTTCTAGAAGTCTTCATTTATCCTTTGTTCATTCACCTGACAAATGTCTGTTGCACACCTGTGCTGGATGCTGAATGACCAACACAGGTACAGTTATTCATTCAATATTTATTTAATGTAAAATTAATTTATAATTTATTTAAGCACCTACTAGGTGCTTAATATTGAATGAATAACTGTATCTGTACCTGGCAGTGCTCTAGGTCCCCAGGTGGAAACCATTCTCACAGTCTGGTAGAAAAGACACCTGTATAAACAAAATGAAATGTGAAGGAAGGCATTTGAATGCTCCCTGAGATAGGAAGTCGTTAAAGCAGAGGGATTTGTTTGTTTGTTTGTTTGCTTTGAGAGGAAGTCTCACTCCCTTGACCAAGCTGGAATGCAGTGGCGTGATCTCGGCTCACTGCAACCTCCACCTCCTGGGTTCAAGCAATTCTTCTGCCTCAGCCTCCTGAGTAGCTGGGACTACAGGCACGTGCTACCATGTCTGGCTAATTTTTGTATTCTTAGTGGAGACGGGGTTTCAACTTCTGACCTCATGATCTGCCTGCCTCCGCCTCCCAAAGTGGTGGGATTACAGGCGTGAGCCACCATGCCCAGCAAAGCTGTTTTAAACTGGTTCCTTCCTTCATTCAGACACTTACTGAGCCCTAGTAAGAAGTCATCCATGTTCTAGGCCAGGGGTTGACAGACTTTGTCTAAGGGGTCACATAGTGAATATGTTAGCCTTTATAGGCCACACACAGCCTCTGTCACTACTACTAATAATAACCATTCTTTCTCATCCTCTAATTCCTCTTCTCCTTCTTTACAGCGCTTAAAAAATATAAAAACAGGCCAGGCGCCGTGGCTCACGCCTATAATCCCAGCACTTTGGGAGGCTGAGGCAGGTGGATTGGTTGAGCCCAGGAGTTCAAGACCAGTCTGGGCAACATGGCAAAACCCCATCTCTATTAAAAAAAAAAAAAAAAAAAGAAAAGAAAAGAAAAGTGATCAGAGGCAGATTAGACAGCGCCTTGTAGGCCACTGAGGCTTTTCACAAGTGAGGTGAGGACCATCACAGAGACTTGACCTTTGAGAAACATGTTCTGACACATCTTTTAAAAGGACTGCTCTAGCTGCTATATTGAAAACCAATTGTAGCCAGGCATGGTGGCTCAAGCCTGCAATCCCAGCACTTTGGGAGGCCGAGGCAGGCGGATCACTTTAAGTCAGGAATTCAAGACCAGCCTAGCCAACTTGATGAGACCCCATCTCTACTAAAAACATGAAAATTAGCCGGACATTGTGGCACATGCCTATAATCCTAGCTACTCAGGAGGCTGAGGCAAGAGAATCGCCTGAGCCCCAGCGTTGGAGGTTGCAGTGAGCTGAGATCATGCCACTGCACTCCAGCCTGGGCAATAGAACAAGACTCTGTTTCAAAAAAAAAAAAAAAAAAAAAAGGCAGGGTTGGGTCAAGGCTGGTAGCAGGGACCAGTTAGGAGGCTAAGAATAGGTGGTTCCCATTGAAAGGAAGAGACATCCCAAGTAGAGGAAATAGCCTCTGCAAAGGCACCTTTGCTTTGCAGGTGCACCAGGGATAAAGTGGCCAGAAGGCAAGCTGAGCCCATGGCAGGTGCTGAGCAGGGAGTGGCATGATCAGAGTAGCATTGTTGGGCAAGTGTTCTGGCTGCTGTATGGAGGGCAGACTGGAGGGGCAGGACAGAGACCAGTAACAGCATCTGCCTTCCCTCCCTGGGCCCCGGGAAAGCCCCCCCTCAGACCCTGCTGCAGAGGTGTGGCTCCATGAGGACACGGTGAAGCCAGGTGATGGAGCACTGCAGAGAAAACCACCTAGGTGAAGCCTGTGGCTCTATGAGGAAGTCCCCATAGCCACTCCCTGACCCGATACCAGCTGCCGACTGCCTGCCTGGAAGATGCGGGCATTTCTCTTTGAGCATTAACCTGGGCAGCAGGTGCAGGCACCAACCTGTGTATGAAGTGGGTGCTTTTCCTCTTTTCTTTCCAGTACTTTCTGTCAAGCTGAGGCACAGGAAAGCACACTTACCTGGTCCAGCTCACCTGAGGGCCCAAATGGAAGGGCAGCTGCACTCCTGGGGTTTGAGCCCTTGGGCAGACTGTATCCCGGGGTAGACTGGATTGGATTCACAGCAAATAGTGAGTCCAATGACCAGGACAGGTAGTCAAGAGCCTCTAAAAGCCACCATCCTACATGCATTCATTCATTCACCAGACAGCACCTTCAAGGAGCTAGTAAGGACCAGGTGGTTCAGAGGCAGTCAAGGCCACTGCCTTCAAGAAGCTCGTGGTTTGTGGGGCAGCAGGAAGGGGGTGTGAAGCAGCCACTCTCAGGCCACTGCTCATGTGACTGAGCCAGCTTGGGGGAACTGGCATCTTGAGTCTAGAAAAAGTTGGCCCTGCCACCTGACCTCAGGGGAACTGGAGGATGACGAGAGGGCTGGCAATAGCAGACAAGCCTTGAGATGCACAGAGATGTCAGACTGAGCCTGAGTAGGCCCTGGGGGAAGGAGAGCCCGCAGACCTCAGACCACCCTTCTTCCTCCATCATCTTTTCTTTCCTCATTGCTGTGCCCTGACACACAGGAGAGCCTGCAGCCAAGTGGACAGAGTCCAGCTTTGTCCATAGACAACTGTGTGATCCAGAGAAAGTCACTTAACATCTCTGAGCCTCTGTGTTCCTGCCCACAGAATGCGGGTTGCGGTACCCAGCTTGCAGGGCAGATGCATTGGGATGGTTTATGTGCTGTCTGTGGCCGGTAATGGGCCCTCATTAAGGCTACTTCCTGCCCGATCTTCTGAACCATCAGTCTGCATCTTTCTGTTTCTTTCCTGCTCTCTCTTCCTCTGTTCTCCTTGTGCATTCTCTATGCAGGGTGCAAGTGGCAGGGTTGTCCCCAGCCTAAAGGCCCTCCCATTTCCCTGTTACCATCAGGCAGGAAGCAGGAGTGGCCAGCGCATGTGCACAGAGCCAAGAAGCAGGACCCTTCACCCAGCTACAATGCCCTATTTGGTTTTTTCATATCAAAAATCCAGACCGCATGGTTCTAACAAGGGGCTTCTGTGCTGCTTCTGGTTGCAGATGCTGGAGTGCAGTGGTGTGCTGGTAGATACTTAACAACCAGCTCTCCAGTGGGGAAGCCCTGCTTTGTAGCATTTGCCAATTTCTGTGGTGTAAATACTCCCACCATGGCCGATTTCGAGCCACCAACAAGACACCACCCAGCACAGTGGGGAGAGATGCACAAAGTCTGTTCCGTGCGCTGGCTTTCACACGCTACTGCACGCTTGTCTTTTTTTGTCTTTGAGATGGAGTCTCACTCTGTCACCCAGGCTGGAGTGCAGTGGTGCAATCTCACGTCACTACAACCTCTGCCTCCCAGGTTCAAGCGATTCTCATGCCTCAGTCTCCTGGGTAGCTGGGATTACAGGTGTGCACCACCATGCTCAGCTAATTTTTATATTTTTAGTAGAGATGGGGTTTCGCTATGTTGGTCACACTGGTCTCAAACTCCTGACATCAGGTGATCCACCCTCCTTGGCTTCCCAAAGTGCTGGGATTACAGGCGTGAGCCACCATGCCCCACCCAGAATTATCTTTTTTTTTTTGAGACGGAGTTTCGCTCTTGTTACCCAGGCTGGAGTGCAATGGCGCGATCTCGGCTCACCGCAACCTCCGCCTCCTGGGTTCAAGCAATTCTCCTGCCTCAGCCTCCCGAGTAGCTGGGACTACAGGCGTGCGCCACCATGCCCAGCTAATTTTTGTATTTTTAGTAGAGACGGGGTTTCACCATGTTGACCAGGATGGTCTCGATCTCTTGACCTTGTGATCCACCCACCTCGGCCTCCCAAAGTGCTGGGATTACAGACTTGAGCCACTGCGCCCGGCCAGAATTATCTTTTTAAAGATGTAACTGTTATCTTGTTATTCTCTTCTTAAAGCCCTTAATCGACTTTCCTCTTCAAGGTTAAAAGCAATCCAACTTCTTTACTTGGCCCTGAAGAGCCTGCCTGATCTGACCCGTGCCTACCTCGGGGACCTCACTCAGAACCAGTCTTTCTATGCACTTCCTTGCCTGGCCTCCTCCCAGTCCCGAAGATCCCAAGTCCCTTCCCATCTCAGAGTGTGCCTACACCACTCTTCCTGCATTCTCATCATGATCCCTCCTCCTGCCTCAGGTCTTGCTAGCCACCCCGTTTCATATAGCATTGTCTTTTCCCTTCATTTTCTGTTCCAACATCCTGGTTGTTTCCAGCAATTTATTATAAACTAATGCTTATATAATTCTATGTCTTATCAATTACATATATATGTGTCTATCTCTGTGACTAGACTGAGTTACTTGAGGCTGGGATTCATAGCTGTTTTATTCACCTTTGTACTCTTCAGAGTATCTGGAATCAACATCACTAGTGATTTCATAGATTAATAGGCGAGTGATTTTGGATGGATGCTGAGGTGGTTGATGGATGATGGTGTTTAGTTGGATATATCATGAGTGGATAGATGGTTGAATGGAGGGCAGACAGATGAAAGTTTGGTTGGATGGATGGATGATGGATGGATGGATGGTTGGATAATAGCGTATGATGGCTGGCTGGATGGGTGGATGGACAGACATATGGATGGACAGACGGACATATGGATGGAAAAATGGATGGATGGATAGCTAAGTATGAATGAATGAGTTTTTCCACTGGGGTGTCAGCATCTTCAGGGCAGGTACCATATCTTAATCAACTCTGAATCCCCGGTTCCTGCACAGAATAGCACTTGGTCAATTTGGGTGGTTGAATAAGCACATGAATAGAAGAATGAATGGATGAAGTCACCCTTGCGATGAGTCCTGTGACTGCTTCTTTTTTATCTGGAATGCCCTCTTGACCAACTCTACTGCTCTGGCTCCTGCTGTTTCATGCATGGGTGGTGGCCAGATGTCATGTCTGTTTCCTATCCACAGGAGGTGACCAAACCTCAGTGGACCCCATGGTCCTGGAGCAGTATGTGGTGGTGGCCAACTACCAGAAGCAGGAGAGTTCAGAGATCAGCCTCGGCGTGGGGCAGGTGGTGGACATCATCGAGAAGAATGAGTCAGGTGGGGACCTAGACCACCCCCCTCTCCTATTACCCTGTCACCAACCCCTAGGACAGGAAACATTTGGAAACTCAGAAACGGAAATGGCCAATCCAGGCTGGCCAGTTCCCATAGATCTGGCAGAAGGTCTCTTAGAAAGTGGCCCCTGTTTGATCACTGTGCTTGAATATCCCACCTGGTCATAACTCACCAGTATCCTGTTGGGTCAGATGGTGCCGATTTGTTCTGACTTTCACATTTTATAAACTTTCCTTCTGGCTCTAAAGCACTTGCAGAAACAGAGTCCAGCACTCCACTAGAAATGTGCTCTGTTGGTTTGCCTTTGCTTACCCATGGGAGTCTTCAAGAAGGCTCCATCACTCTGGGCTCTAATGAATGGGACAGACACATTCCCTGTGTCCTTAGCCTACCTGCCCATCACAGGGACCACTGGTCATGGACACTGGCTGGGTCTTGGACAGAATGTGGTATGATTGAGACACTTAACCTAGATTTCCATCGAAATTCCACATTTCACAGTGGTTCAGGTGGCTTTATTCTGTTACTTTTCTTATCAACAAAATAAAAACTTTGCTCTAAAGAGTGATTGTAAAGATGAAGTGACATAATATGTAAAGAGTGCTTAAACTTGTGCTTAGCACATAGTAGATGCTCAAAAAATGTGGGTTTCCTTCCCCTTTGCCTTCCTTAGCCACAAAGCAGCCATTGCACCCCACTGAAGGCAAAGAGCAGAAAATAAGCAGATCCTCCCTGAGAAAATGCAGTGCAAACCACTGGGTTTGTTGTGGCTAACATGTGACATTAGCTAATCATATCATTAGTGCGTCAGTCTCTGTGACAGCCCAATGGCTAGTTGAGAGCCAAAGAACAGGGGAAAGATGATGTTTCCAACATCCTCTGGATCATGGTGGCATTCGTCATGAGACCAGCACCAGCCAGCCAAACTTCCTTCATTACTCAGTATAGGAGTTGCCATCCTTGCTTCACAGCTAATGCAGCCATGACTCCAAGTGAGTCAGTCACTCACCCCACATCTCACAACAGGCTGCAGAGCTGGACTTCCAAACCAACTCCAGCAGCCCCTAAGGCCGTGTGACTTTCCAATTCCTGAGAATGAATGTGTGCAGACTGTGTGATGTGGCTAAGACACACCATGGGGACGTAAAGACAGAAAGACAGGAGCACCCACTGCCCTGGGCCCCCAGATTGCAGGAAGTCAGGAAAGTTGGGTAACTGGGAAGAAGAGTGGGGGCCAGGAATGAGTGTTGGTATGTCCAGAGGGTAGCAGAAGGAAGGGAGAGGATGAGTGGGACCATCTTCAAGTAGCCAACACAATAACGACATTTATTTTTTATTATATTGTACTTATCCAAGTAATGCATGGACGCATTATTCTTAAAACATTAATGATAAAACTAAAATCTATTTTTTCCACCAGCTTCAACCCTAACCCCCTTTCTGAGCCCCAGATAACCCTTCTATTCATTAAGTATGACCCTTTCTTGAAAGTATTATATACACACGTATGTGTGTGTGTACATGTGAATATATACACTCACACATACACATGTACTCATTCATACATACATGCACATATACACAAAAACCCAGTAGTGTTATTGTATACATTTTGATCTGCAGCTAACTTTTTTTAGTTACAATCCAGCTCCTCTGATCCTTTTTCCCATCTGCATAGTATTCAGTGCCTGAGTAAGCCATGTTCATGTATTTGTATCCATACTCCATTGAGAACAGTGCCACAATGTGCATGTCATTTTCTTTAGGTTAGATTCCAAGAAGTGGAACAGCTGGACTATAAGATACACATATTTTATTTTATTTATTTTTTTGGCGGGGGAGATGGAGTCTCACTGTATCATCCAGGCTGGAGTACAATGGCACGCTCTCGGCTCACTGCAACCTCCGCCTTCCTGGTTCAAGCAATTCTCCTATCTTAGCCTCCTGAGTAGCTGGGACTACAGGCTCACACCACGTTTTGTATTTTTAGTGAAGACGGGGTTTCACCATATTAGTCAGGCTGGTCTTGAACTCCTGACCACCCACCTCGGCCTCCCAAACTGCTGGGATTATAGGTGAGCCACTGTGCCTAGCCAAGATACACATATTTAAGTCTTAAGATACCACCAACTTATCTGCTTCCAAAGCAGTGGCTGTTTTGATTTATCCTCCCTCTAGCAATATGCGAGGCATTAGTAAAAATAGTTTAGAGCTCAGAGACAGCCTGGGTTTGAAACGTGGCTCTGCTACTTTCTATCTTTGTGACTTTGATAGAGTTGCCGAGCCTTCGCTTCCCCATCTGTGAAATGGGGGCAGTAATAGTACACACCTCATAAGGCTGTGGTGGGGATCTAGCAAGGTAGGAGTGGACATGCAGCACTCTGGACAGCATCTGACACATCAATGCTGTCATTGCTATTGTTGTTTTATTACCGTTTCCTTATCTTCATACAAATATTTACAAATATGAATCTTTAGAAAATCATAGGGCATATTTTCTAATTTCTGGTTTTCCACAGATTTAACAGCCCCAGAGTTCCATTTATTCTCACTCACATATACACACAGAACAATCAGCCACCATCACAGGTATTTTGGAACCTGACATCAATTAAAGCAGAAGGCAGCTTCCATTTCTGCAAGGTGAAGAGCACAGGCCTCTCTGTAAGACCAGCAGTGTTGCTCAAGAGTCTGCTCCTTCCTTCTCTTCTCCTCTGGGGTCTCTAGGGCTTGGAGGTGTGTGATCTTGGGGAACAGATCTCATTTTTCCATTTATTTTATACAGAGCCAGTTGGTCCCTGTATAGTTTCCCATTGATGCTGTGATGAATTACTACAAACTCAGTGGCTTAAAACGGCACTTATTTGTTTGTTTAAACAGAGTTTCACTCTGTCACCCAGGCTGGCTGGACTGCAGTGACACAATCTCAGCTCACTGCAACCTCTGCCTCCTGGGTTCAAGTGATTCTCCTGCCTCTGCCTCCCTAGTAACTGGGATTACAGGCAGGAGCCACCACACCCAGCCAGCAGCACGCATTTACCTAACAGTCTGTGGGTCAGAAGTTCAGCATGGTCTCACTGGCCTAAAATCAAGGAATCGACAGGGCCCCATTGCTTTCTTCAGGTTCCCAGTGGGATCTGTTTCCTTGGCTTTTCCAGATCCTGGAGGCCGCCTTGGCTCATGGCCCCTTCTTCCTTCTTCAGTGCCAGCAGTGTTGCACCTCTCTGTGTCTTTCCCCAACAGTCACATCTCCCCGTGACTTCTGCCTCCTTCTTGCATACTTAAGGACCCCTGGGATTATACTAGGCCCACCCAGAGAATCTAGGATAAACTCCCTGCTTTAAGGTCAGCAGATTAGCAGCCTTAATGATTGCCATGTAACTTAATATATTTGCAGGTTTGGGGGATTCAGACACAGGCATCTTTGCAGGGAGAGGGTCACTATTCTCCCTACCACAGGCCCCATCCAGGCCCTTCTCCTTAGGGAATGTCTGAGCCTCACAGGGTGAGAGGCCTGTGAAGCAGATGCTAAATCTGCATCTCAGGTAAGGCCAACGCCGTTAGAATCAAACAGCCCTGTGCACAAATCACGGCTCTTCCACAAGCCATGTAAACTTGGATGAGTTTGTTTGCCTCTTTGAGCCCGTTTCCTCATGTGTACAACTGGGATGATAATGTGAAGATTATATTTAATGCAAGTAAAATGATGGGTGCATCACACATCTTAGTGAAGGTGAACTTTTGTTTTTTTTGTTTTTTTTTTTTTTTGAGACGGAGTTTCGCGCTTGTTACCCAGGCTGGAGTGCAATGGCGCAATCTCGGCTCACCGCAACCTCCGCCTCCTGGGTTCAGGCAATTCTCCTGCCTCAGCCTCCTGAGTAGCTGGGATTACAGGCATGTGCCACCATGCCCAGCTGATGTTTTGTATTTTTAGTAGAGACGGGGTTTCACCATGTTGACCAGGATGGTCTCGATCTCTTGACCTCGTGATCCACCCGCCTCGGCCTCCCAAAGTGCTGGGATTACAGGCGTGAGCCACCGCGCCCGGCCGAACTTTTGTTGTTATTGTTGTTGTAGTTGTTGAGATGGGGTCTCGCTCTGTCACCCAGGCTGGAGTGCAGTGGTGCAACCATAGCTCACTGCAGTCTTGACCTCCTGGACTCAGGTGATCCTCCCATCTCAGCCTCATGAGTAGCTGGGACTACAAGCATGCACCACCATGCTTGGCTAATTTTTAAACTTTTTGTAGAGACAGGGTTTTGTCATGTTGCCCAAGCTGGTCTTGAACTCCAGGGCTCAAGCAATCCACCCAAATGCTGGGATGACAGGCATGAGCCACATTGCCCGGCCTCTTTATTGCTGTCATTTAGGATAACTTTATTCTTCCCTATCTCGGGTTCAGGAGCAAGTTTCTGGACCTGCTTTGAGCAATTAGCAGGTAACATCGGTAGTTGTGTTCTACCAGTAAAATGGTAACTTTAGCCTTACCCCAGGAGTTCACTGGTATATTGGCTGAATAGATTTTTATGTTCTGACTCCCATACCTCATACTTGACCCAACTAACGCCATTCCGCACTCTCGCTTCCCCAGGTTGGTGGTTCGTCAGCACTGCTGAGGAGCAAGGCTGGGTCCCTGCAACATGCCTCGAAGGCCAGGATGGGGTGCAGGATGAGTTTTCCCTGCAGCCTGAAGAAGGTAGGAAGGAGCTCGAGCCTCTGCTCGCTGGGGAGGATCTGTAGAGTCATCACCCATACTGGGTTGCCTTTTCACCCAATCTCTTCTTTTGGCCTCTGCCCCTGCGTCACAGCAGCTCATGGCTCAGGCTCCATAGCCTGTGAACCGAAAACCAGGCCATGGTATTAGGGCTGAGGAGCAAGCCCACCCTCTCTTAGGGGCCTTTACTAGCAACCTAGGTGAGCCTGGCCAGACCTCAAGCCCTAACCCTTCCATGGGACCCTGGGAGGGGTCAGATCAGCCTGATCCCCAACAACAGTTCACTGTTCCTCCCTAGAATTATTCTGGTGGCCAAGGTGGTGGAGTTGCTTCAGCTCATTTGCAAGACATTTGACCCCATCTATTTAAAGGCCTCTGCTTTCTCTGTGGGTTTCAGTGGCCCTGACCAGGTGTCCTCCTCCACTCACCCACACACACACATTCCATTGTTTCCCAGAGAACCCTCCCTACACATGTCCTGAATGGTGATTTCTGCCATGCCAGAAATGCTAAATCCCAACCAACTCCCTATCCCCGCTAGAAACATTCCTAGAACTAGGGCATGAGTTCACCTTCACCAAAAACAGGGGTTTTTGGAGGCCGGGCACAGTGGCTCACACCTATAATTCCAGCACTTTGAGAGGCCAAGGCGGGCAGATCACCTGAGGTCAGGAGTTCAAGACCAGCCTGATTAACATAGAGAAACTCTGTCTCTACTGAAAATACAAAATTAGCTGGACGTGGTGGTGCATGCCTGTAATCCCAGCTACTCAGGAGGCTGAGGCAGGAGAATCACTTAAACCTGGGAGTCAGAGGTTGCCGTGAGCTGAGATCACACCATTGCACTCCAGCCTGGGCAACAGAGGCAAAACTCCGTCTCAAAAACACACACACACAAAAAAAAACAAGCAAACAAACAAAAAAATACAGGGGTTTAGGAATCAGACACACCTGAATTTTAATCTCAACTGTACCACTTACTGGTTGAGTGATCTTGGGGCAATAATTTAACCTCTCTAAGCCTCAGCCTCCTCAACTAAAAATGGAAACAATGATATCTAGATCATGGGATTTTTGAAAAAAATTAAATGAGATCCACATGCAAAGAACCTAGAGCAGTAAATGACCAGAAACAGTTACTATTGTATCAGCAATTCCTGACCTAGAGTTGAGTTTTCTCGGCTTTTAGTTGACTGTTGTGAGAAAGCACAGAGACACATAAAACGTATCTTCATCAGCTAAGAGGATGAGGAGAAGGGGGATAGCTCTATATTCAAAGGTTAGCAAAAATTGACATGGGGTTTTGCATTGAGTTCTATTACAGCCGACACCCCTCAGAGTAAAACATCTGTTGGTTTGCTCTGTGTTTGTGGGGCCCGCCAGGCATTGGGGCTAACACGAGGTTACCGCCAGAATTAACTCAGATTAAGGGGTTAAATTGATCCCTTATTGATGTGCTGCGTGGAAACTAGAGCCCCTGAGATGGTTCATGATGACCACCGTGAGAGCGCCTCTGTCAGGCACTCATGACTGTCCCGATTTTACAGATGAGGAAATGGGGTCTGAGAGGCAAGGAGACTTGTCCAGGGTCACACAGCTAGAAGATGAGAACGAGACCATATTTTCCTGAGTTTGTACATTTATTTTCTTCCCTTGACCACACGTAGTACCTTTTTTTGTTTTGTTTTGTTTTGTTTTTTGAGATGGAGTCTTGATCTGTTGCCCAGGCTAGAGTGCAGTGGCATTAGCTCACTGCAACCTCCACCTCCCAGGTTCAAGCAATTCTCCTGTCTCAGCATCTCAAGTAGCTGGGATTATAGGCGTGCACCACCACACCCAGCTAGTTTTTGTATTTTTGGTAGAGATGGGGTTTTGCCATGTTGGCCAGGCTGGCCTGGAACTCCTACCATAGTGCTGGGATTATAGGTGTAAGTCACAGCACCTGGCCTTTTTTTTTTTTTTTTTTTTTTGGGGGGGGATGGAGTCTCGCTTTGTCACCCAGGCTGGAGTGCAGTGGCACGATCAGGCTCACTGCAGCCTTGAACTCCTGGGCTCAAGTGATCCTCCCACCTCAGCCTAGCACCTCTTTATAATCATGCTAGGAATGGAATTATGTCTGCTGGAGGCCTCTTCACCCAAGTTCATGATTAATACGAGGAACTTGGTCTTCCTAAGATGTCTGGGGCTTGGAGTAGACTCAGAAATAATGCCATCCCGGGTGGGGACATGTGCTTCGTGCCACCTTTGCCTCTACACATTGTGGTGCTTTCTTCTCACCTCTGCCCTCTGCCCTTCCCCCTACATGCTGCCCGTCCAGTCTCATGGAGGTATTGGTCTCTGCCCCGGCCTGTGGGCCGCCGCCGGACTCTGGGGGACTTGTATGCCATCAGCTGGCGTCAAGGTGCCTACCTCGGAGTTTTCTTCCCCGTTTGGTGTTTGGAGCCAGGTCCCTGCACCTGCATGAGCCTCCCTGCTCTGGGACCGCCCGTGCCTGTTGCATGTGAGAAACAGTGATCTCGTCTGTCTTGTGTGACGTGTATGTTGTTGGCATGTGGGTTTGGGAGGAGTGGGCCTGGGATATTGTTGACCTTGGGGCTCTAAAGTGTCTCAGTTTAAAAAATGATGCCTGCGGTTTTCTGTAAGGCTGAACCAGTGACCTGCTCCTTCATTGAGGCTCATTTGACTTGCAAGGGAAAGAAATGCATGTAAACCAGGCTAAGCAAAAGGGGAAGTGTATTGACTTATATCACTAAAAAGCCCAGGGTAGGGCTAGCTTCAAGCAGAGCTGGATCCGGGGGGTTGAAACTGTCATCAGGACCTGGGACTCTCACTACCTCTCTGCTTGTTGGCACCATTCTCTCGTGATGACAGCAGTTCCAAGTACCTTTCGGGGACATCACCAAAGAAAGAGCTTCTCCTTCAACACAAGTCCTAGGATTGTTTCCAGCTGACCCACTAGGGTCACTTGCCATCCATGAAGCCAGTCACAGTGGCTGGGAGTTGCAACACTTTGGCCAGGCCAGGGTCCCACACCTACTCCTTCCCTCCAGGAGGTGGTGAGCGTGGCCTCACTAAGCCATGGGGACAGAGGCTGGTAGCACCACCAAAGGAAGGGCAAATGCACGTGAGGGTGGAAGCCTCTGCAGGCATGCAGTCTACAAGGTCTTCCAGCCTCTGCTGTGTGTGCAATCACTGAGCATCCCATGGATCTCAGAGAGGGACTCCGGCGATAGAAAATCCATCTGTGCAGCTCAGCTGAAGGGTGCGGGCCCCAGGAGTCCAGGCTCATAGGACTGACCGCACTCATTCTGAGACCCAGGTGGCACCCTTTCCCACCTGGACCAAACAGAACTTCTGTGCACCTAGGGTTGGATTCTTCCTCCACCCCTTCCAACCCAGCAGCCCAGCCTGCAGCTTCCACGAAGGAGGGGAACAGCTGACTGTGCTGAGCACAGGATATGTGCAGCTTGAGTCAACTCACCCCCCACCGAGCAGGTCAGCAGGCTAGATCAATAAATAAATAAACGCCCTGTGTGTTTTCCGCCTCCCTCTGCACCAGCTGGGCAGGCCGCGGACGCGGACGGCATGTGGTGTTTTCCCAAAGAGATAGCGTCTGCAGCAGCATATTAACCATGACACCAGGCCACGGCTGGCTCAGGCACTCACCAGGGGCAGAAATGTAACCAAAACAGAAGAGCCCTCTCCTTGCCTTGCCTGGCTCCCTTAAGACACAAATCGATTTTTCTCCATTTCAGCTGCCATAGCAGATAACATTGGGGGTGGGAGCTGTTCCTGGCTCTGTGGGACACCCTGCCAGAGTGCGATGATGAACAACCCACCCCGCTGAGCCCAGGCCCTCCAGGGCTACTGTGGGAGGGGACGCAGCTGGGGGCCGCTCTCAGGGAGGAGGGTGAAGCCATAAGGATGGTCCCACGGCTTCAGGGGTCAGGGGGACCGCAGAGAGTGGGGTAGAAGACATTCCAGTCACAAGAATGGAAGTTCAGGCTTTGAGCATGGCTGAATTCAAAGACTTGAACATAATTAATAAAAATTGAAGATCAACCACCAGCAAGGTAATGAAAATTGTGAGCCGTGTCCTCCTTGGTAGTGATTTCAGCCTGAAACCCTCCACTGCCAAAGTTCAGCTTCTCCCTGAACTCCACCAGCAAGAGCTGGTAAAGAGCCACAGACAGCTTAACCCCTTCTGTGTGATCAAGGTGGCTCCCACCGGGGCTTCAGGTCTTGCCCATTTACTGCATATTGACTGATTTGCTAAACATTCCAAGCACCATGCCCAGTGCTGGAGACATAGGAATGCATAAGACAGACAAAGCCCTGCCTTCATGGCGTTCATATTCTAGTAGAGGATACAGACACACACTTACGAAACGCAATAAATAAGCCAAATAATTTCTGGTATGGGTGGGGGGCAATAAACCGGGATAAGGGGGATGAGAATGCCAGGGATGGAAATACTGTATAAGGTGGTCGAGGAAGGTGACCTGGAAGCACAGATTGAAGCAGGTGAGGCTGAGTGTGTGGCTCTGAGGGGTTTCAGAGGGACAGAGACCTGCCCTTTGTCCTGTGTTCTGTGGCTACCTGCAGGGCCATCCAGGGCTAGGTCGGGGCCAGGGGTGTGCCCAGAACTCTCTGGAGGAAATCTTCCCTCCGATGAGCAAGGCCATCACAGGGATCGCAGCAGCCCAGGCCTCTTGGCGTCCTCTTCTGACCCCAGCTTCCTTTTGTCCCCACAGAGGAGAAGTACACAGTCATCTACCCGTACACAGCTCGGGACCAGGATGAAATGAACCTGGAGAGAGGGGCTGTGGTGGAGGTCATCCAGAAAAACCTGGAAGGCTGGTGGAAGATCAGGTACCCGCCACTGCCTCCCGCTGTCACTGGGTGGGTTTGGGGTCACGGGGGCTCCGGCTTCACAGAAGTCAGTAAGTGATTGCATCTGGGTGAAGTTTCTGCCTGAACCATAAAAGGATACTTCTCCTCTGTGTTGTTTGGCCTCCCTCCCTACCCATATCCTTCCTTAAAAGTCCATAATAAGCAAAACCTTCTCCAAACAACTGAACCACAGATAGCAGCAACCCCATTAAGCAAGGCTGGTTTCCACCTCCAGATGTTTTTCGTAATGAGTAGTTGAAGACCAAAGCTGCCCCGTGTAAGTGGCAGCCTCCTCCAGCCCCATTCTGAGAACAAGATGGAGCATAAACATGACACGGACTGTAGTTCATCCTAAGCTGATAATCTGCCTTCATCTCTCAAAGTCCAATGGTAAAAGCAGGGCATCTGCATTCCAAACACCTTTCATAGCTTTCACCTATGTGATGAAATCAGAGCCTCATAGGCAGGCAGGGTGGCCAGCTCATCCTGTCTTGTCTGGGATTTCTCCAGTTTTATTTATTTATTATTTATTTATTTACTTATTTATTTGTTGAGACTGAGACTCACACTGTCGCCCAGGCTGGAGTGCAATGGCACAATCTCGGCTCAGTGCAACCTCCACCTCCCAGAGATCTGGGTTTATCAGGGGTTTCTGCTTTTGCGTCTTCCTCATTTTCTCTTGCTGCCAATCACATGATTCTCCTTCCTCAGCCTCCCAAGTAGCTGGGATGACAGGTGCACACCACCACACCTGGCTGTTTTGTATTTTTAGTAGAGACGGGGTTTCACTATGTTGGCCAGACTGGTCTCAAACACCTGACCTTGTGATCCACCCACCTCAGCCTCGCAAAGTGCTGGGATTACAGGTGTGAGCCACCACACCCAGCTACTTCTCCAATTTTAGTAATAAAAGTCCTGGGAACCCCTCCTTGATCACCCCAATAGGCAGGGTGTGACCACAGGAAATTAGGGCAAGAGAGGAAGCTAAGGTTCCTGTGATCTAGTGTCTGCACCATGATTGTCTCAGGACATTCGGGCCATTTCCAGGAAGCTGAGCATGTAGCAATACATTCATTCATTTGTTCAACAAACACACACCAAGAATCTCTGTTGGGCCCAGTCCTGTTCTGGGAGCTGGGGAGTCGGCGGTGAGCAAGACACAGAAGCTCACATCACCCAGTGAAGAAGACAAACCCATAAACAGTGATAGAGCAGGTGGTTGGCCATGTGTTGGAGGGATGCATGGGGACTTTGGTATACAGAAGAGGGGCTCCTCAGCTTGGGGGTCAGGAAGGCTTCCTGGGGGAGATCTCAGAATTTAAATTTGAAGAAGGATAGTGATAGTAATAGTGTATTAGTCTGTTTTCACGCTGCTGATAAAGACATACCCAACATTGGGAAAGAAAAGGTTTGATTGGACTTACAGTTCCACATGGCTGGGGAGGCCTCAGAATCATGGCGGGAGGCAAAAAGCACTTGTTACACATTGGCAGCAAGAGAAAATGAGGAAGACGCAAAAGCAGAAACCCCTGATAAACCCAGATCTCGTGAGACGTATTCACTATCACGAGAATAGCATGGGAAAGCAGCCCTGTGATTCAGTTACCTCCCCCTGAGTCCCTCCCACAACACATGGGAATTCTGGGAGTTACAATTCAAGCTGAGATTTCAGTGGGGACACAGCCAAACCATATCAAATAGCAAACATGGGCCGGGCACAGTGGCTCATGCCTGTAATCCCAGTACTTTAGGAGGTAAGGCAGGAGGATCACTTGAGGCCAGGAATTCAAGACCAGCCCAGGCAACATAGCAAGATCCTGTCTCTACATAAAAATCTTTTAAATTAGCCAGACATGGTGGTGCATGCCTGTAGTCCCAGCTACTCAGAAGGCTGAGGCAGGAGGATCACTCAAGCCCAGGAGTTTGAGGCTACAATGAGCTATGATGGTGCCACTCCAGGCTAGGTAACACGGCAAGACCCCATCTCTAAAATTAAAGACATTATTATTATTTTTTTTAAGCATAACAAACAGGTAGGCACGGTGGCTCACACCTGTAATCCCAACACTTTGGGAGGCCAAGGCGAGCAGATCACCTGCGGTCAGGCGTTTGAGACCAGCCTGACCGACATGGAGTAGCTCTGCCTCTACTAAAAATACAAAATTAGCTGGGAATGGTGGCGCATGCCTGTAATCCCAGCTACTTGGGAGGTTGAAGCAGGAGAATCACTTGAACCCGAGAAGTGGAGGTTGCTGTGAACCGAGATCACACCATTGCACTCCAGCCTGGGCAACAAGAGCGAAACTCAATCTTATAAAAAAAAAAAAAAAAGGATAACATTTATTGAATAGTATGTTATCTTGCTACATAATAAATTGTCCCAAAACTTAGTGGCTCTGGAATTCAAGAGTAGCTTAATTAAACTCAGGATCTCTCCCGAGGTTGCAGTTAGGAAGTCAGTAAGGGCTGTCGTCATCTGAAGATTTGACTGAAGCTGGAAAACGGCAGTCAGGATTTCAGAGCCCACTCAGCACTGTACATCACCTCCCATCTTACGTCTCTATGTCCCCAAACAATGAACGGTGTCACACTGAGGGTGTGGCTTATATACAACCTGACATCTTCTAACTAGGATATTCCCTCTCAGCACGTATTTTAAGATTGGTAGACACTAAACTACAGAGTTCTACCTCCTTTTAAATTTGCTTCCAGTCAAGAAAGACCTTTTTTTTTTTTTTTTTCATTAAAAACCCAGGCTATTTTGTTCTGGAAATAATTCTTGACAAGAGTTTTGGCCCTGCCTTTGGGTCTATTCAGCTTTCCCCAAAGATCTGGACACCTGTTTTGTGGGTGCTGGTAAATGTTTAACAACCAGCTCTCCAAGGAAAAGTACTGTGAGTTATGGTGTTTGCCAGTTGCCGTGGTGCAAATACTGCCACTGTGGTCGATTTCAAGCTATCAGTGTGATGTGACTAAATGCAGAGATTGGGAGAGATGTGCCCAACTGGCTGTCACAGCTGCTGTGACCGACTGCAGCACACCCCTGGTCTACATTGATCCCTCTGGTCATTGCTATTAAACTGAAATCTTGCCAGGCATGGTGGCTCATTCCTGTAATTCCAACACTGGGAGGCTGAGCCAGGAAGAACCCTTGAGTTCAGGAGCTTGAGACCAGCCTGGGCGACACAGTAATACCCCATCTCTACAAGAAATAATAATAAATAAATAGCTGGGCATGGTGGCATGTACCTGTAATTCCAGCTACATAGGAGGCTGAGATGGGAGGATCGCTTGAGCCCAGGAGTTCAAGGCTGCAGTGAGCCATGATTGAACCACTGCACTCTGGCCTGGATGACAGGGAGACCCTAGCTCAAAAACAATCTGTCCTGCAGTTTAGTGATGACACTCATCGAATTCCTTTTTGGGAGGTCACCAAGCTGTTCTGTCAAGTTCTCAATCACTCTGCAGTTTAGTGACGGCCAGCTGACACTTGGCAAGCCCTGGACCCAGCCCTCAACCTGCTAATCCCATGTGAAAACATGTTTAATCTCCGTGTTAACCAGAGTGAACAGAGCTCCGGCTGTCTATGCCAGGCTTTGGCCCCAGAGCTGGGGCTGGTGGGAAGAGGCAGCAAAGCACAGAGGTTCCAAGCCCAGCCCTTCTGGGTGGGTGGGACGTGGAGGGTGCTGTGAGGGGGAGAAGTAGAGGCCAGGTTGGAAAGGCCTTGAAAATGCCAAACTGAGGGCTTAGGCTTCATCAAGAGGAAGTGCATGGTGTGCCAACCTCTGGCCCTGGGCAGTCACAACCTGTTCCTGCTCCCTGGGACCTGTCATGTGATTCCCAGTAGGAGCAAGGCTTCTTCCCTTGGGCCTGGCAAAGCAGTTTGACAGCATCCTTCCTCCTCCTCACAGGTACCAGGGCAAAGAAGGCTGGGCCCCTGCCTCCTACCTAAAGAAGAACAGTGGGGAGCCCTTGCCCTCAAAGCCAGGTCCTGGCTCACCTGCCCACCTGGGTGCCCTTGACTCGGATGGTGTTTCCCGGCAGCAGAATGCAGTGGGCAGGGAGAAGGAGCTGCTCAGCAGCCAGAAGGATGGGAGATTTGAAGGCCGCCCGGTGCCCGACAGCGATGCCAAGCAGAGTGAGTGATGCCCACCCAAGCTCCCAATGCTCGGGGCCCCCTGTGTGCCAGCTCTGTGCTTAGGGCTCCTCACATCATCCCTCATCCTCACAGTGGCCCAGCTGCCCACCCCACCATCCTCTAGATAAGAAAACAGAGGCTCAGAAACCCCAGGTAACTTGTTGCAGATCACTCAGCCCGTGAGTTGCAGAATCTGAGTCAAGAGGCATTGCCAGCCGGGCGCAATGGTTCACGCCTATAATCCTGACACTTTGGGAGGCTGAGGTGAGTGGATCACCTGAGGTCAGGAGTTCGAGACCAGCCTGACCAACATGGTGAAACCCTGTCTCTACCAAAAATACAAAAAGTAGGCAGGTGTTCTGGTAGGCACCTGTAATTCCAGCGACTCAGGAGGCTGAGGCAGGAGAATTGCTCGAACCCGGGAGGTAGAAGTTGCAGTGAGCCAAGATCATACCATTATACTCTAGCTTGGGTGACAAGCATGAGACTCCATCTCAAAAGAAAAAAAAAAAAAGAGCTGTTGCTTTCCTACCCCAGGTGACATTCTTTCCACTATCTCACAGTGGTCACACTGGCTACTGTTTTTCAAGCACTTGCTACATGCCAGAAACCTTCTAATCAGTCTCATTGACTCCTCCTAACTACCTTTGAGGGAATTACTACTTTTTCTGTTTTACAGATTGGGAGTCTGAAGGGTGAGAGGGTGTGCCCAAGGCCCCCAGCTAGCAGATGTCAGTGACAGGGACTTGAACCTGGCAGTGCTGTGCTCTCTATTCCTCCATGTGGCCTTGTTTCTAAGCCAGAGGAAGAAGAAGACGACCCTGTGGGGTTTGCTCCGGCACCAGTGCCTCTCCCATCTTGCTTTTCAAAGCCTCCTAGTGTATATTTTACTATTTCATGTTCCCAGCACGCCTGAGAGTAGAGTTCATTACTGTGGTCAGCCGGGTCACACTAGCTACCATACCATGTCTGCATGGGCACACTGGTGCCCAGGACTCACACACAGTACCCATGATCCTGTCTTGGTCATGCAGGGCAGTGGACTCTGTCTGTTAAGAAAGGACTTTGAGTTACCGACAGAGCCACCGCCCCTGGCTGGGCTTCTCCCCGCTATTTTTAAGTGGCAATGAATTTCTTCAGTCCCTCAACTAAGCTTCATACTCTGCTCAGCTGCCCTGAGAAGTCACTGATCATGTTTTCTTTCTTTCTTTTTTTTTTTTTTTTTAAAGACGGGTTTCATCATGTTGGTCAGGCTGGTCTTGAACTCCTGACCTCAGGTGATCCACCCACCTTGGCCTCCAAAGTGCTTGGATTATAGGCGTGAGCCACCATGCCCGGCCTGATCATGTTTTCTCACGTGCTGTGGCGGGGGTTCTGGCCAGCCCCGAGTTTGTGTGATTTTTTTTTTGAAACAGAGTCTCATTCTGTCACCCAGGCTGGAGTGCAATAGCAGGCTCTTGGCTCACCACAACCTCCACCTCCCAGGTTCAAGCAATTCTCCTATCTCACCCTCCCAAGTAGCTGGGGTTATAGCTACCCACCACTCCCGGCTAATTTTTGTATTTTTAAGTAGAGACGGGATTTCACCATGTTGGTCAGGCTGGTCTCAAACCCCTGACCTCATGATCCACCCACCTCAGCCTCCCAAAGTGCTGGGATTACAGGTGTGAGCCACCATACCCAGCTGAATTTGTGTGATTTTAATCTGTCAATCATGGCCAAGAGGGTAGGTGTATTCCCATTAAGACTGCAGGAGCATATGAAACTCTGCAACCTCAATGTCTTTGTTAGTATATAGGTTCAGGCTGGGCACAGTGGCTCAGACCTGTAATCCCTGTGCCTTGGGAGGCTGAGGCTGGAGGACCACTTGAGGCCAGGAGTTTGAGACCAGCCTAGGTAATGTAGTGAGACACCCTATCTACAAAAAAAAAATTTTTAACTAGCTGGGCATGGTGGCACTCACCCATGGTCCCAGCTACTAGGGTGGCTGAGGTGGGAGGATCACTTGAGCCCAGGAAATTGAGGCTGCAGTGAGCTGTGATTGCACCACTACACTCCAGCCTGGGCAACAGAGCAAGACTATCTCTCAAAAAATAGATATAGATAGATAGATAGATAGACAGATAGATAGATAGATAGATTCAGATGCTAAAACACAGACACACCCCCACCACTGAATATACACATATACACACATCCAATAACAGTGGCTTAAATAATCTAGGTATGTATTTCTTTTTCACAAAACACTCTGTGTATGTGTCCAGAGCTGGCATGGCAGCTCCGGGCAATCAAGAGTCTTATCACTCTGCATGTGTCATGTTGCCCTCATCCATCTCATCCAGAATGGCTCACTACTAGCCCAGCCAATGAAAAGCAGCGGGGGAGAAATGGTGGAACAGCTCAGAAGTGACACACTTTCTACTTTGTCTCACATCCCATTGGCCAGAACTGAGTCACATGGCAATACCTGGCTGCAAGGGTGTCTGGGAAATGAAGTCTTTATATAGGCGGCTAAGTGTCTTGGCCAAAACTCTGTTGCTATTTTTTTCTAATAGAAGACAGGTAAATGGGAATTTAAGGGATTAGCAATCTCCTCTACACCCCAACTCCAAACTACCCTTCTGTATGGACCCGTGCTGAATCTGGTCAACATTCTGCCTTTAGCCAGGAGCCTTGGACCACTGCAAAGTACTCATCCTCCTGGCCCTGAGACCCAGAGCTAGGGCAGCCCCCTCCAGAGTATAAACCCCTGAGTCATCAGCCCAAGTGTGTTTGGTTCAGTGTGTTTGTGTATTGTTGTGTTTGGGTTGTTCTAGAGCACAAAACCAGGTGCAGTTAACATTTATTGTACGCCTGCCACATGCCAAGAGCTTCACCGATGTTTCCTTTCATCCTCACTGCTGCCCTGGGTGGCACACACTATGCCAGCTCTACAGATGAGGGCCTTGTGGCTCAGAGAGTCCAGTCATCTGTCCAGTGCCAGCAGCCGCAAGCCTCACAGCTGGATTGGGACCCATCTCTGTGTTAGTCTGAAGACTTTGCTTTTTGCCCTTTCTGGAGGATTTTCATTACTTGAGGACTCACCACCATCCCCTTTCATTCCTGTGTAGAAAAGATCCAGGAAAAACTATATCGAGAGGGTCCTGAGCCAAGCATGAGCCACGCGTGAACAGCTCCTTCCTGCCCAGGCTCTTCTCGCAGGAAGGGTTGCAGCAGCATGCGAACGCCTGTGTTCAATCTTCTGCAGGAGAGAATAGATCTGTCCTGGTGCCCGGCTCAGGAATCTCATCTGTAGCACTCTGCACGTGAGTGTAATAAGCTCTCATTTCTCCATAGGATCACCAAAGATGAGGCAGAGACCCCCTCCTCGCCGGGACATGACCATTGTAAGTCGACCCTTGCTACTGGGGAGTGGCCACTGACTTGAAGGCTGTGAAGAGTGTCCACCAGCCCCTCACACACCCCTCGCCCTTCCAGAAATGCTCTCTTTGTTTTCTTTTTTTTTTAATATTAAATTTTAATCATTACTAAGGCAGTCCGCCATTACTGAGGCAATAACCTCACCTATGTAAACAATTTTTTTTTTTTTAAGACAGGATTTCACCATGTTGGTCAGGTCAGACTGTTCTTGAACTCCTGACCTCAGGTGATCCACCTGCCTTGGCCTCCAAAGTGCTTCGATTACAGGCGTGAGCCACCACGCCCAGCCCAGGAATGCTCTCTTGCCTGTCCACACAACAGCCTTGAGAAACAGGCTATATAAATGCTCGTCCCATTCTCAGGTGAAAAGACTGAGGTGCAGGCAGGTGAAACAGTTTGCCCACAGGGCCAGAGTGCTCTTGTGACAGTTGGGCCTTGGGTCCTGCTTTCTGCTCCCTGAGCCCTTCTCTGGGTCTTAGATTGGTCTTCTCGGGTCAAGCAACGAGGCCCAGGCTGAGGTGAGACACAAATATCATCTGTGTTCATACTCCATCTTGTGTCTGCGTTCATACTCCATTTTGTAAAATTCTAGGTACCTTTTTAGCCAGTACTTTGAACAACGGGTTGTTGGATTTTGGGGGGTTTTGTTTTATTTTTTTGAGACGGGGTCTTGTGCTGTCGGGGTTGTATTTTTTTTAATGTCTGCCATTTCTCAAACACCTGTTGCGTGCCATGCCGTGTGCTGAGTGCCTCACATCATTAACTCATTTAATACTTGAACAACCTCACCAGGTAGACACTGTTATGCCCACTCTACAGGAGAGAAAACTGAGGCTCTAGACGGGGGTGATTTGCCCAAGATCACTCCCACTGTCAGCATTTCCAACCCAGATGGATCTAACCAACAAACCCAAATTCCCGCCACAGCCCTCACTGCCTCTTATTTCAGAGAATATGGTCTTGCGCCAAATTCTCATGACTGTAACCAGATGCCCCATGTTTCTTCTCATCTCCCTAAAGCTGATGGGCCAGTGAGATCTTACCGAGGAAATGACAATCTGCGTGGTCCTATTTGTGTTGTCCCTTAGAATCCAACTAGGTCCCCAGCACCCTCATGAGGATGATTGCATGCCCCAGGCCCTCAGTCTCCCCTGGCACAGAGTCACAGGAATGCACTTAGCAGTGGAGCTAACCCTGTGTGTGATCATACCAGCCTCGAGGCCTCAACCTGCCGAAGCCGCCCATCCCGCCCCAAGTGGAGGAAGAGTATTACACCATCGCCGAGTTCCAGACAACCATCCCAGATGGCATCAGCTTCCAGGCAGGTCTGAAGGTCGAGGTGAGTGGCCCTGGTGTTCCTTTGCCTACTTGTGGTTCCTGATTCCAGGCATCACCTCCTCCTTCTTCCCTGTCACCTCCTACTTCATTGGGTGGGTGGAGATTAACAGTTTTATAGTTCACATACCATACAGTTTACCAATTTGAAGTGTAAAATTCAGTGGCTTATGATATTCACAGGGTTGCACAACCCTCACCACTATCTAATTCCAGAACAAAAAGAAACCCCTTATCCATCAACAGTCACCTTCCATTTCCCCTCAATTGTCCCTGCCAGCCCTAGGCTGCCACTAATCCACTTCCTGTCTCCATAGAGGTGCCTGTTTTAGACATTTCACATGGATGAAATCCCGCAGTATGTGGTCTCGTGTGACTGGCTGTGTGCCTTTCTTTACCACCTCCCACCTCCATTCTTGCTTCTCCTCTCTCCTTTCCTTCCCACTCCCTCTGCTTGCTGGCTTTATTCCCTGGATTCTCTTCCTGTATTTTTCTTTCCTTTCTTCATGGAGTTGGAGCTTAAAGTTAGTTCTGTCTCATATTTCCAAGAAAACCTGTAAGTAAGGGGATGGCAACAAGGGCCAGGGTTTGGAACCCTTTGGCAAAGATGGTTCTTGAGACAGTTTCAAAAGCAGGTGAGCCAATCACAGGTATCACCAAGTCCACTCTGTCATGCGTAAGGGTTGGTCAGATCCTCCCCACTCCCCTTGGGAGGCAGAGGTTTAATTTATTCATCTCTGCACCGCTTCTGTGTCAGGTGCCTTACCTCCTTGATAACTGATCTTCACAGAAGTCCCACGAAGTCAATACCAGCAGCATGGCATTGGTTCACTGGTTCGTTGGTTTTTCTTTTCTTTTTTTTTTTTCTGTCAGCGTGTTTTATAGATGAGAATCAGAGGCATTAGGTAAATTAGTTGCCTATAGTAACACAGCTGGTAAGCAATGGAGTTGGGATGTGAAGCCAGGTCTCTCTGTTGTTTTTTCTGTTTTATTTCCCCCTCCCCCCGGTCTCTCTGGTTTTAAAGCCCACTCTCTTTTCTTTTCCCTCATTCTTGTGATGTTTTTTTTTTTTTTTTTTTTTTTTTGTGATGGAGTTTTGCTCTGTTGCGCAGGCTAGAGTGTCATGGCCCAATCTTGGCTCACTGCAACCTCCGCCTCCCAAGTTTAGTTGATTCTCCTGCCTCAGCCTCCCAAGTAGCTGGGATTATAGGTGCCCACCATCACACCCAGCTAATTTTTTTTTTTTTTTTTCAGTAGAGATGGGGCTTCATCATGTTGGCCAGGCTACTCTCAAACTCCTGACCTCAGGTGATCTGCCCACCTCAGCCTCCCAAAGTGCTGGGATTACAGGCGTGAGCCATCATGCCCGGCTTCTGACCTTGCATTTGCTTTTATTCATAGTAGCTCATGGCCTCCCTCTAGTAAGCGAAAACGCCCACTTATCATGGTTCAGAACACACATGTTCAGAGCTTCTACCACAATACTTTGCATGGAGTGTAGGCTTGACCAATCTTACTGATACATCTAATATTGATTATCCTATTTTCAGTTTCTCACAGAATTAAGATTAATGTTGAATTTATGAATGTGCTCACAACGACTTGTATGCCTAGCATGGCCTGTAATTTTTACCAGAGCTGGCAAGTGTTGATAAGATGCCAGTCTTCCTCACATAAAGAGCTTACATTTATCAGTGGCCTTTCCCGGAGATTCCAGTGGGACTTATTAAGTGCCGCCTGTCAAGTGCATCCCGCTGGCTCGGTGACCTTCGCTCAAATTTAATCACAGGAGCATTTACCAAGTGCACAGCATTTATCAAGTGCTGTTGTATGCACTAGCGCTTGAGGCTCCAAAAATTCCACAAGTGGGTGTTAAATTGTTCTTATCATCTTCCTTCTGTGATGTGGAATCTGAGGCACATGGCTGCCCCAGGCCTCTCAGGCAGTAAGCGGGAAAGTCAAGACTAGAACCCAGGACTGCAGGCCCAGAGCCCAGTACTTTGCATCCTGGCGCTGAGTCTGTGGCTGGCGTCCCTCTCCCAGAGGGGCCACAGTGTGCCCGCAGCCATCTCTGCTCCTTCTGCAATTTCTCACCCCAGACACGGCCCTTCTCCAAGCAGGGTCTCTTCTGAGAGGCGAGATTGGGTGACTCTGAAGCCCACCCCCGCCTTTGACTGTCCTCCAATTGCTGGACTTTCTGCACGATCTGCTGTGTGTTTGTCAGCTTTCCTGAGGCTCAGTTCTGCATGTGTAAAGTGAGGTGACAGTCCCCAACTCACAGGGTGTCTTCCAAGTACAGAGAGAGCCTGTTGTATTGGACCGAGTGTAGAAAGTTATCACCAAGACAAAAGTATGCCAGATTGCAGGGTCATTTATTATGCCGGCGACCACAGAGGACTCACGTCTCTCCAACCTGTGGTGCCAAAAGGAGGGTGCCACGATTTTTTATACCCGAAAAACCACCTTGGGAGTGGGGGTGAGGGGCGGGGATGGGGATGAAAAGGTTTCAGACATTCCAAGGGCCAGGGGACTTTTGTCATTCTGTTTGTTACTTCAGTGGTTTACAGAAGTCAAGATATACATTTGTTTACACATCGTCTGGGTGGTGATAGAAGTCACAGATTTTAGCAGTTACTGATAAGAAAAGGTAAGCAGCTTTACATAGTTTTGCAGAACAAACTAGCAGTTCTATTTACAGAGGCCAAGGACAGTAGTTATTGTGAGGAGAATGGGGCAGCCATTTCAACTTATTTAAAAAACAGTTTTGCTCAGGTTCTGGCTCTGGGCCAGCACAATATCACAAGCCTACCAGGGAATTGCGGTGTGCATCTCTGCTGGCTGCATAAACAAATACCAGACTGGGCGGCGTGGCTCAGACAACAGCAGTTTATTGTCTCCCGGTTTGGGAAGCCAGAAGTTCAAGATCAAGGTGTCAGCAGGTTTGGTTTCTCCTGTGTCCTCTCCCCTTGGCTTCTATATGGACACCTGCCCACTCTTTCTCATGCCGTCATCCCTCAGCCTCTGTGTGTTTTCTAATCTCCTCTTCTTATCTGGACTAAGGCACGAGAATCTCTTGAACCTGGGAGGTGGAGGTCATATTGAACTAGGGCCCATGTATTAGGCCATTCTTGGATTGCTATAAAGAAATACCTGAGACTGGGTAATTTATAAAGAAAAGAGGTTTACTTGACTCGCAGTTCGGCATGCTGTACAGAAGGCATGGCGCCAGCATCTGCTTGGCTTCTGGGGAGGCTCAGGGAGCTTTTACTCATGGCAGAAGGCAAAGCAGGAGTAGGCATGTCACATAGCGAGAGTGGAGCAAGAGAGAGTAGCAAGGAGACACCACACACTTTTTAAACAACCAGATCTCGCGGGAACTCATTACCATAGGAAGGACACCAAGCCATTCATGAGGGATCTGCCCCCATGACCCAAACACCTCCCACCAGCCCCTACCGCCAACAGTGGGGATTCCATTTCAATGTGAGACTTGGGTGGGGACATACATCCAAACGCTATCAGCCCGCCTTAATGACCCATTTTAACTTTAATCACCTCTTTAAAGGCCCTGTTACCAAATACAGTCACATTTGGAGGTATTGGGGGTTAGGGCTTCAACATATAAATTTGGGTAGGGGGACACAATTCAGCCCATAATAGCAAGCACACCTTTCACCTGTGTAAATTCAGCCATGTGGTGCTGAACAAGAAAGAGACAGAACAAGATCTGAAACAACATGGGTGATTCCACCCACCATTCCATCCAACAGGCCAGTATCCACAGGGAAGTAGAGATGAGATGAAATTCTACTTTACTTCACCAGCCCCACGTCCCCTGTTTATAAACACAAGCATCTCTTCGAGCTGAGTGTAATTCCTGTGTTCAAAGATAGGTATTTTTCAGGCCAGGTGTGGTGGTTCACACCTGTAATCTCAGCACTTTGAGAGGTTGAGGCGGGCAGATCACTTGAGGCCAGGAGTTCGAGACCAGCCTGGCCAACATGGTGAAACCCTATCTCTACTAAAAATACAAAAATTAGCCAGGTATGGTGTCACACGCCTGTAATCCTAGCTACTTGGGAGACTAAGGCATGAGAATCTCTTGAACCTGGGAGGTGGAGATTATAGTGAGCTGAGATCATGCCACTGCACTTCAGTCTGGGTGACAGAGCAAGACTCTGTCTCAAAAAAACAGGTAGGTATTTTTCATATGTTGTGGCCTCTATAAACACTAGCTAACTTCTTCATCCGGTGCTTAACCAGAGAAGCTAGGATCCAGGGTAGCTTTGGCTTTTGCGTTGTCTTTAGAATTATAACAGGCACTGCCAGTGCCCTGATCCACCTGAATTCACCTGCGCCTACACACAGGTCCCTGCAAGCTGACAGCTTCCCAGAAGGGGAGAGGAGTTAATGCCCTGGGTAGAGAGGGGCTGGGAGTTAATAGATAAACGCACACCTCCCCAGAGGGGCCATTCTCAGGCACTGTCTTCGTGGTCTCTTTAAGGGTCCCGGCAGGTCAAACCCTATGGCCCAGAGCAATAACTTGCTCATAATTGGCCTCCCTCCTTCCCTTCTTTCTCTCTCTACTTCCTTACTTGTATTTCCTAGGACCAACTCTCAGATTAAGTACCTATACCTGGCCGGGTGTGGTGGCTCACACCTGCAATCCCAGCACTTTGGGAGGCTGAGGCAGACAGATCACGAGGTCAAGAGATTGAGAACATCCTGGCCAACATGGTGAAACCTCATCTCTACTAAAAATACAAAAATTAGCCAGGCGTGGTGGCATGCACCTGTAATCACAGCTACTCGGGAGGCTGAGACAGGAGAATTGCTTGAACTGGGAGGCGGAGGTCACAGTGAGCCAAGATCATGCCATTGCCCTCCAGCTTGGTGACAGAGCGAGACTCCGTCTCACACACACACAAAATAGTACCTATACCCAAGTCCACGTCTCATGGAATACTTTAGGGGGAATTCAATTAGACAAGAATCTACCCCCAGTAAAATATTCCTAGAACATGGTAACATCTCCATTGGTGGTCCCCTTGTACTTGCAGGAGGAGCTGCTAAGTACAAAGTGCCAGCTTCTAGAGCTCCAGTTGGGCTCTCCCAAACCATTCCGTCTGCTGGCTGTGGCATCGCACCCAAGTGCCTTTCTCTATGCTCCCTTGCAGGTGATCGAGAAAAACTTGAGTGGCTGGTGGTACATTCAGATTGAAGATAAGGAAGGGTGGGCCCCGGCAACCTTCATTGACAAGTACAAGAAGACCAGCAATGCCTCGAGACCCAACTTTCTGGCTCCCCTGCCCCACGAGGTGACCCAGCTCCGGCTGGGGGATGCAGCAGCGCTAGAGAGCAGCGTGGGCAGCGAAGCCACGGGCCCCTCCCGGCCCCTGCCTGAGGCACCACATGGGGCCATGGACTCAGGGTTGCCGTGGTCTAAAGACTGGAAGGGCGGTAAGGAGGTCCTGAGGAAGGCCTCTTCAGACATGTCTGCGTCAGCAGGCTATGAGGAGATCTCAGACCCCGACATGGAGGAGAAGCCCAGCCTCCCTCCGCGGAAAGAATCCATCATCAAGTCGGAAGAGGAGCTGCTGGAGCGTGAGCGGCAGAGGACGCAGCAGCTCCGGGGCCCCGTCCCCAAGCCTCCGGGCGTGATTTTGCCGATGGTTCCAGCCAAGCACACACCTCCAGCCCGGGACAGCAGGAAGCCAGAGCCCAAACCTGACAAAAGCAAACTGCTCCAGCTGAAAAATGACATGGGGCTGGAGTGCGGCCACAAGGTCTTGGCCAAGGAAGTGAAGAAGCCCAACCTGCGACCTGTCTCCAAATCCAAAACTGACCTGCCGGAGGAGAAGCCAGAAGCCACTCCCCAGAATCCCTTCCTGAAGTCCAGACCTCACGTTAGGCCAAAACCAGCTCCTTCCCCCAAAACAGAGCCACCTCAGGGCGAAGACCAAGTCGACATCTGCAACCTCAGGAGTAAGCTCAGGCCTGCCAAATCCCAGGACAAGTCACTGTTGGATGGGGAGAGCCCCCAGGCAGTAGGGGGTCAAGACGTGGCCTTCAGCCGAAGCTTCCTCCCAGGAGAGGGGCCTGGCCGCACCCAGGACAGGACGGGCAAACCGGATGGGCTCAGTCCAAAAGAGATGTCCTGCAGAGCCTTTCTGAGGCCAGCCAAGACCACAGATCCTGTGTCTAAGAGCGTGCCTGTTCCTCTCCAAGAGGCTCCCCAGCAGAGACCTGTGGTCCCACCCCGGAGACCACCCCCTCCCAAGAAAACCTCTTCGTCAGCCGGGCCTCTTCTAGAGATCAGAGGTCCACAGCGTGAAGCCCACGAAAGTAGGGCCGCTCCCACCCCAGGCCATGCTCTCCAAGTCCCTCCAAAAGCCAAACCTTTTCTCTCCAACTCTTTAGGGGGCGAGGATGATATTCGAAGCAAAGGCAGCCTGGGGCCACGGGGGACCGGCAAGATCGGAGAAAACTGGGAGAAAGCAGCTGTAGCCTCCGTCCCCAATGCCGATGGCCTGAAGGACTCTTTGTATGTGGCCGTGGCCAGCTTTGAAGGAGACAAAGACACCAGCAGCTTCCAGGAAGGGACGGTGTTTGAAGTCCGGGAGAAGAACAGCAGTGGCTGGTGGTTCTGCCAGGTCCTGAGTGGGGCCCCTTCTTGGGAAGGGTGGATTCCTTCCAACTATCTTAGAAAGAAGCCGTAGCCAACTCCCGTTCTGCCTAGAGGGCCCGCTGGTCCTTGCTGGCTTTACCACATATTTAATACACCTCTTAATTTATCATTCTCCACGCAGCTTCCAAGGCAGACAGACTCTGGGATACGATGGCTTCTTGCCTCCCTTGGGCAGAGAGTGAGTTTCAGATACCTCGGGTGCCCCTGGGTCTGATCCCTCCCATCACAGCATCCCTGGAGGCTCAGCAGCCACGGCCCTTGCTTTCTGTCCATGTCAGCCTCCCTGCCTTAAGAGAGCTCCTGGCCAATGGCATTGCCACCCAGCAGTGGGACCAGGACTCTCCAAGGCCTCCAGGCCTGGAGCCCATCACCTGGAGAAACTCCAGCAAGGGTCTCATGGCTTGGACACGGCACAGGAAGGGGCAGCCCACCCAGTCCTTGATGACTTGCTCCAACTTTATGTTTCTAAAAGCCCAGTGGCTTTATTCACTCTTCCTAAAATGCCTGGTACCAGAAAGACCTTTATCCTGAAGAATTCCATTCCATTGCCAGTCCCAGGGAAAGTGTCCCTCCCCTAGGCCTCAGGCTGGTGCGCCCCTGAGGTTCCACTGGATGCTGCTCCCCCAGGAGTGGGCCTGGAGGTCCGCTTGGCAGCCCTGCCTCCCACCTTCTATCTTGGGACCATGGTCAGCCCTGAAGGGTGGTTCCAGCCCCGCGCAGGCTACACTTTCCTGCTGTAGGCTCCGGTCCCGCCGGGGTTTCTCAATAAGAATTCCCTCCCAGCTTCGAGCATTTCATTTTTGCCTACCTAAAGCAAGAATCTCAAAGTCTGAGTAAGAGGCCCATTCACAAGTCGTGCCCTCGTGAGCATCCTTTTGCTGAGTGCCTCGGTGGTGCCAAACACTGTACCTGGCACTTTGCATTCATGTTTTGACCCTCACAACCTCCCTTGTGATACTATATCCCCTTCATAGATAAGGCACCTCAGGCTCCACGTGAAAGGGACACAACAGCCAGGAACAAGAGGGAAGAGGATTTGAGTCCAGGCCTGCCTGACTTCAATACCTGTGCCCTCCCCTCTATAAAAGGCAAACCAGGCAGGGAAGAGATAGAAGCTGGCCAGGTGCCAGGAGCAGGTGGCCAAGTGGCTTCATTGTGGTGGGAATGACGGGGCCTTCGTGGCTGCTCCCACTCCCACCATCCCTCTGGCCCACAGCAGCTTCCACCAAAGGCTGTCCTGGACTCAACAGCTGCAGCTTCATAGCAGGAGAATGCCAGGGTCCTGGTGGTTGGCACAGAGCCCTGTTCCCTGCTTCTAAGCTGTTGCCCCTGGGGAATAGAGCTGATGGAGCAATGGGAGCTGAGGTGGCCTCAGGGGCTGGCCTCGAGGGGCCAAGCGTAGCATGCAGCAGTCCCATAAGGAGACAGGGAACCCAGGGCCAGGCAGAGCTGCTTCCTGCACCTCTCTGGCATTTGTCTTTTTTTTTTTTTTTTTTCCTTTTTTCATACACCTACAAATCTGTTTTTCTCCCTGGACAAAGCCCAGGGCAGATGTGGTCATCTGTCAAACTGAGGCATGGAGAGGCATCGCTGAGTCACTGCAAAAACAAAATCAGGACCCAGCATTTCTAGCTCCCAGCCCAGAGTAAGAGAGCAGAGCAGAGCTCCTTCCCATTCTGCCCAACCGAGGTAGCCCTGCCCTGCCCGAGATCTCCAGTTCACGGTGTTCATCTGCTGAGATACTTTTGGACCCACAAAGCCAGTGTTTTGAGGGGATGCTCACTGTCTAGCTGCAGTGCCAGAGTTTTTCTGGAACTGCCTCCTTCTGCCCTGCTGCCCAGCTGTACCCCTTGCCACATGGGTACTGGCTGCTTCTGCAGGAGAAGGAGCTTCCTCTGCTCACCTGGAGCATCTTCATTCCCTTCCCCCAGTCGGCCTGCAAATCCCATTCCCCAGAGAGGCTTGGGCAGGGCCCTGAGGCACCTCTTGCAGGGTCCACTTGCCCCGGTGCCCAGAACCTTGGGGACAGATGGCAGCCAGGGGAAGAAGGGAGGCAGGGAAGGTCTGCCACCACTTGAGGGTCCCTTGAGAGGAGGCCCCATGGCAGCTTTCCTGAGTTCTTGATCCACTTTGGTCTAAACAACTTTTGTGAGGCTATGTGGGATTTGACTACATTTCAAAAGACAAAACTCACGTGTTTTTTTTTCTGATTTGCTCTTTGGCTTTCAGTGACATTTTCAGGTATTTTGTGAGTGCCTACCATGTGCTAGGCACTGAGTAGACTGGGATGTGTGTGGCTCCATCCCTAGCTGGAAGAGCTTTGAGCTCTGTCTGCTGACTTCACTGAAGGAGTTTCTCTCTTGCCTCATTCCTTCCTCCCGGGGGTCAGCTGGGTCGAAACAGACTTGCCCCGCCTTCCTCTGGGCAGGAAGTGTTCCCGCAAATGAAAGAATCTGCCTTTCTTTTTTTGCTATGATGATAACTATTATTGTGACATGAACTGTAGGTACTGAAGCCACATTCCTCTCTGTTCACTGTTGTCTCCGCGGGTCCTGTCTATGTCCTGAGGACATCTGTATCCAGCTCCTTTTCCTACAGTGCTAGACACTTCCCCAGGGAGCTAGCAGTGGGTGGGTCTGGATGGCCAGTCACTCTCCTTGCTGCCCTCACCTGGGGACTTAGGTTTACCCCATCCAGGACTGTGGTCACTATTCTGAACAACTGATGGGACATAGGCAGAACTCTCCTGGAGTCATGGCTCTAGAAGGTGTCCAGGCCCATTGCGCCAGCTGTGCCAAGCACCGGGCTGGGGACCGGTCCCTAAACACACTCCTTTAATCCTTGCAGCAATCCTGTGAGGCGGATAGGACCAGCCCTGATCTATAGTGAGAAAATTAGGGCTCAGAGAGAGAGGTCACATGTCCCAGCCTTGTCCAATTAATGACCAAGCTGGGACTCAGATCTAGGGTTTGGGTTTCTTTATTATATCCTTTTGCCCATGACTTTTCCTCTGCCATTTGCAGGGAAATGTGCGTCGGGCCTCCAGGGAATCACGTGACCCTCCCTCTGAATTGTGGTGTCTGTTCCCTCCACCTCTTGGTCACACATTTCAGTAGGTCACAGGCCAAATGGCAGCCCAAAAGGTGGGCAAAGATTTTTTTTTTCTTCCCGTCACCCCTGCTTACCACCACAATTGTGATGACAACTTTACCTTACGTCGCAGGGCAAAGGGACAGCTGGTGGTACCTCCGAAAATTTGGAAAATCTGAGTCTTAGGACCACCTCTCGATAAAAGAGGCCTTTGCTCACATTTTTTTGCTCAGAATCTTTCTTTACCATTTGGCGGGTGTATATCATTGTCTCGGCTGAGACTTGGGGAGAGCTGAGCTCCAGCTTAAACCGCTTTTAATGGCCCCTCCCTATCTGGGGATTGTTAGAGCCCATGCCAAGTTACAGTAGTCATTTTAAACCTCTGCCACAGGGCCACGCCAGAGAATCCATTTCCAAGGCAATGGTCTTGGCCTTAAAATGTTTGTGCCCACTGTGGATTTCCTTTCCAGGGAGAAAATGGGGGAACACCTGTGCCACATTAAAGAGCAGATGCTGAGTATGCCAGGACTTGGGAAGGACCTTAGGCTGAGGAGTGGACAGGCTGGTATTTAGCCTCTCCCAGGTACCCCTCACAGAGTGGGAAAAAGAAGAAACTGCTCCTGCCTTCCAATACCTGGCAACTTGGCATCAAGAACAAAAACATTAGACTGGGTATGGTGCCTCATGCCTGTAATCCCAGCACTTTAGGAGGCCAAGGCAGCTGGATCACCTGAAGTCAGAAGTTCGAGACCAGCCTGACCAACATGGAGAAACCTTGTCTCTACTTCAAATACAAAATTAGCTTGGTGTGGTGGCGCATGCCTGTCATCCCAGCTACTCGGGAGGCTGAGGCAGGAGAATCACTTGAACCCAGAAGGCGGAGGTTGTGGTGAGCCGAGATCGCACCGTTGCACTCCAGCCTGGGCAATAAGAGTAAAACTCCGTCTCAAAAAAAGAAAAAAAAAAAAACGTTTGTAGCTGGGCTCCTGTCCTTTCATTGCGCCCAAGTGTCTTACATGTTGGGTTAAGCTGCCCCCGTGGAGGCTGTACCCTTCTCTTTGGACTATGACAGTGGACACCAAACAGCCTGAACCATGCGCGGTAGTCATATCCCCCAAGGGTTGTCCAGGCCTAGTGCGCAGGGGTTTTGTATAGACTGCAGACAGCCATACCTCACCACAGACCAAAGATGACCTCGTGTCAGACTGTGGGCTGATGAGAGGTAGAGCAGCATGCATGGAGGCCCGAGGGTGCAGGGCACCCTCCCTTGGCCTGGAGGAATTGCTCCTAACTAGAATAAGTTTCCACGAGGGTCTCAGGCAGAACCGCAGAGCTAGCACTGGAGGCTCCACAGTCCTTGCCTACTCATAAACCTTTCAGAGCACCTTTCTACAGAATGGACTGCCCAGCTCCGTGGGGTGACGTCTGGTTTCTGGTGCTATCCTGCCAAGTTATTGAGCTCCTCTTCGTATTTCAACATTCCATCTTCTCGTTTCTATCCTTGACTCCAAAGTAAGCCTTCTTAGCTCCAATCAGGGATGAGGGGCTCGACCTCTTTTGTCCTCAGAGAGGCCAACCACAGTGCCACAGCCAGTAGCCTTCACTTTCAGACGTCCTATTCGTGTAAAAAAGAACGTGCCCCACCAGGCTTACATCAGCAATAAGCAATTCTAATGTAACAGTGGTGTCCATATTTTACCCCAGTGTGTGCCCTTGTATGCCTTTGTGCCCATGTAATTGTTGTTAGCACCCCTTTCACTTAGAGGGGTGATGATAAACTATGGTCACCTAGACTACAACCCACATTTCCTGCTTTGGGGAGCTTCCAAGTAACAGGTCATTTCTTACCTCCCTCCGGGAACAGTGGGCACCGCCCACCACCTCGTGTCTGCTCATAGGATGACGCTGGAGATCCCCGCGCTCTACCCTCTTGGCAAATTGGCATTCTGTTGGTGGCTTTTGTTTCCTTTAACACTTTAAATAAACGATACATAGGAGATGAGGGGAGGGGTGAGAACAACTAGCTGTAGCATGTATAGGCTATATACTTTACCATTAGACTTTTTTTCCCTTTTTTTTTTTTTTTTTTTAAATAAAAGTGCTTGACTGGTTTCAAGCTTCATCGCAAAGATGCAGTGTCCATGGATTTTATTTGGCAGGAGAAAGGGTACAGAGCTTTGTGCCCTGGGGTCTTTGGGATCCAAGAACAGAAACGTATGCCAACTGTGTCTGAGCACTGCCAAGAAATAGGGGTGACCCCCCTCTGGGCCAAAGTGCACCTTCATTCTCTTAACTACAATGTCCTCGAACCAGGGGAAAGCTTCCTTTATGTCCAAAGAATGGTGAACCTCTTGCTGCCATTGCCTCCTGATAATCAGGAGTGTTCGGTAGGGGACCAGGCACGATAGCTCACACCTGTAATTCCAGCACTTTCGAAGACCAAGGCAGGCGGATCATCTGAGGTGAGGAGTTTGAGACCAGCCTGGCCAACATGGCAAAACCCATCTCTACTAAAAATACAAAATTTAGCCGGGCATGGTGATGGGTGCCTGTAACCCCAGCTACTCACCAGGCTGAAGCAGGACAATCGTTTGAATCCCAGAGGCGGAGGTTACAATGAGCCGAGATCACGCCACTGCACTCCAGCCTGGGTGGCAGAGCGAGACTCGTCTTAAGAAAAAAAAAATACTCGGTGGCAGTTGGGAGTGGGGGGTGGGAAATGCCGCCACATTCGGGCCGCAGGACTGCCCAAGCCATCTAGGAGGTGGAGAGTACTGCCTAATGTTTTAGTACTTTCCCAAAGGCAGTGCCAAGGCAAGATCAACCCCAGTGTGGAGCCCCCTTGGTCCCAGGTGAGTAACAGGACACCACCACCCCACCTTCCTAAGGAAAGAAGACACCCCAGCAGAGTCACTGAACAAAAGAACTTGGAGGGAAGGGATTTACATGCAATATTCATTCTTGCTTGGAGGAAACAATATAATGACTTTCCGGCAGATCTTGCATAGGAATAATGGTTATTAATATATTAAAAATACGTTAATCTGTGTTCCTATTAGTAGGAAAAAGTCAGAGGATGTGGTGGCTCACACCTGTAATCCCAGCACTTTGGGAGGCCAAGGCGAGAGGATCTGTTGAACCCAGGAGTTTGAGACCAGCCTGGGCAACATAGCAAGACTTTTCTTCTACTGAAAGTTAAAAAAAAAACATAGCCAGTTGCGGTGGTGCACACCTGCAGTCCAGCAACTTGGGAGGCTGTAGTGGGAGGATTGCTGGAGCCCAGGAGTTCAAGGCTGTAGTGAGCTGTGTTTGTACCACTACACTCCAGCCTGGATGACAGAGCAAGACTGTGTCTCAAAAAAAAAAAAAAAGATGGAAAAAGTCGTGTGTTCCGAGCCCCCATGGGAGCAGGTTCACCCAAGTTCTTCCAAACCAAGAGTGCTTAATGATAACAGGACTGGCAATGGTATGGGCTTCCCAGCTGGGTTTGAAGGGGCGTCAGCCTCCTGGGATGGGATGGCAACGGGACTATGATCAGGAACCCAGCCTGGCTTTCTCTTTGCCGGTTACCATGCTCTCTCACTACATTTCTGCCCCACGACCTTCCTTCAGGTCTCACTTGGAAGTGTCACACTCACCTTTCCCTGTCATACTGTTTTTTGTTTTGGTTTGGTTTGGTTTGGTTTGGTTTTTGGGGAAGGAGTTTTACTCTTGTCATCCAGGCTGGAGTGCAATGGTGCAATCTTGGCTCACTGCAACCTCCGCCTTCCAGCCTTAAGCGATTCTTGTGCCTCAGTCTCCCAAGTAGCTGGGATTATAGGCATGTACCACGAGCTAATTTTTGTATTTTTAGTAGAGTCGGGGTTTCACCATATTGGCCAGGCTGGTCTTAAACTCCTGACCTCAGGTGATCCACCCACCTTGGCCTCCCAAAGTGCTGGGATTACAGGCATGAGGCACCATGCCCCGCCCCGTCACACTGCTTTAGCCATGCTAAACATGACCCAGCTGTCTCACCCTCACATACCTGCAAACACTCCCTCCTCTAAGGTGAGTTTCTGGGTCCAAGAGTCCCATCATGGAGACACGCTTCTCCAGGTCCTTGGCCTTCAACGTCCAAGTATCATTTGGTCCACGTGGGATTCTTCAGCATCTTGCAACTCATGCTTCCCAATCAATGGTTCTCAAATTTTAATGACCTTAATGATTCCCCAGGGAGAATCTGTTAAAAGACAGATTTCTCAGCTTCACTCCCTCAAAGTCTAACTCAGCAGGAATCAATATCCTGAAAAATCTGTTCTAAGGAAATAATCCACATGCTCCATCCTGAGAAATGGCTGGGCTTTGCACCTTACCTGGTATAGTCTACATGTTCAAAAATGATACCCTGGTACTGATTTCCAGGACTGTAAGTCATTTTATATACACATTTCTTTTCGTACAGAGGCCGCTCGTACAGTTCTTTTTTTTTTTTTTTTTTTTTTTTTTTGAGACAGGATCTGTCTGTGTTGCCCAGGCTAGAGTGCAGTGGTGAGACCTCAACTCACAGCAACCTCCAACTCCTGAGTTCAAGTGATTGTCCTGCCTCAGCCTCCCAAGTAGCTGGAATTACCATCAGCCTCCCAAGTAGCTGGGATTACCAGGGTGCAGCACCATACCTGGCTTGTTTTTGTATTTGCAGTGAGTTCCAAAAAGAATTTGGGTGAAGGATGTGGCTAAGGTTAGATAGGTGTTATGGTTCAGGTAGAATGCAAAGCAGAGCTGAAATTTAGAATTTGACATTTTCCAGAGTTTGTTATGTGAATCATTAAGAGACGGGGTTTCACCATGTTGGCCAGGAGGTCGAACTCCTGACCTCAAGTGATATGCCTGTCTCAACCTCCCAAAGTGCTGGGGTTACAGGCATGAGCCACCACGCCTGGCCATATATATACTATTTTATTCCATCCTCACAATGCAAAATGTGAAGTAGAGATCTACGTTTTACATATGAAGGCACTACATTTTGGAAAGATAAAGGTGCTGGACACAGGCTCGCATAACTAGTGTTTGGTGTATCTGGTACTAAAGCTGGTCATTTCATGGCAGCTATGTCCCCTCCCCAATGTTAATCAAAGCACATCTTTCATCCTGATAAAACTACTTCCTGGAATTCCAAAT